GATTACAATCCCTAAGTGAGAGGGAATAGTTAAAGTTTGTTTGCTGTCAGACCGATATTATTTAACACATCATTGTTTCTTGGTAAATTGTTTAAAGTCAAAAATAGTTAATTTATGTTTAAACCTCATTTGAGGCATAATCGTCTAGTTTTTAAATTCGATTTAAGAACTTGTTATATAGAGGTGCAATAAAGTTAATTAAGCAAAGCAAGCAAGCAAAAAGGTTACACCGATGTAGAAACTGTCCAAATCGCGGACGCGCCAACCGATTGAGATAAGCTTCATTTGGCTGGAAGACCTGCATCTGCGGTGTTTGGCATCCGAGAACGGATATCTGCTGCCTTTGCTGGCACCACCGCCGCGTCCGAGCGCCAAACGACACCTATTCGTGTTTGATTCGACAGTTGGTAAAGGATTGGACAGTTGGCTCGGCCTCACTTTATACTTTTTACCGACCAATCTCCACGATCGCGTAGCTTAACTTAATTTTGGTTTGCCTTTGTGCCAGATCTATTAGGTAACCATCGGTTTGTGGCCTCGTTTAGTACATTATTAAAATTAAAAGTCACAATATATCTTAAAGGACGTCAAACCACTTATTTACTATTACAGTTACAGTCCTTCTTAATGCACAAAATCTGTAAAATATACTTTTGTCACAATTGTTGGTTCATAAAATAGGACACACTAAGCTGCCCCTACATTACAACATACAAAAACAATGTCATTTATTTTCACAGTGTTGCAATACTTACAATACATTTACATCCTACATTATTAACATTCCCGCGGCTTAGATCTTATGAGCTTAGGTACAAGCTACAACTTTTATTGCATTTTACGGGTGATGTTTTAGGTCTTATAAAATAATAATTAATAAATTTATTATAAAAAAATATTTATGCTTCAGTTCTTTGATGGGTTTATATAAGTTTTTGATAGTAATTGTACTTTATTTAATATCAAAACACCAGGTAAACCTACACCATTATTAGATGAAACTCACGGAGGTTAGATGATATTTTTGTAATAATTAGACGAAAAATCAATATTATGATACATAATATTACAACAATAACATATTTCTGATAACGTAGCAATTAATTTATGCTAGTTCATTCCATCTAATTCATAGATTTAGGCGTTTGAAGTTGTGCATTTTATCGTTTTTTCCGTAAACAAGGAACGGTAGAACGATCAGTCCAAAAAAAAAATTGCAAATATTCTATATTAACTTACAAAAGGAAAGGTTTAAAAAGAAATCTACTTTTTACTAGTATGAAAAATAGTGAAAATCATTTCTAAAAGGGGTAAAGTAGGCGCTCAAAAATTACGATTTCTTGCAAAAAATGTAAAAGGTCTCTTCAGTCAGCAAGGCCAGGATCTATCTCAAAATATGTTTAAAAGGAAAGAGCCTAATAGCAGTTCTATAAAATTATAAATTTTGACTGGGTCATCCTTAGATTAAAACAAAAAGGGTAGATACGGCACTAGCCTCACAAAAGTGATCCGCACCAATTGTGGTCCACGACCCTAATCGCTTTAGTCACAACTTGACATGCAAACGACGTACATGTGAACGCCAAAAAGTTATATTGCTAATATTTTGTGTTTATATGATAAAACAATGCCTAAGTGTGTTTTTAAAAGGTGCTCAAATTGCTCAAGAACTAAAAATAAAACCCACGGCATCACTTTTCATTCGTAAGTACTATAAAATATTTTTTTTCATAAAAATTGCTGTTTGTATTGAATCTTGTTCGGTAGTGACGTCGAGTACTGGTCGCGTGATTGGTCGGTAGTGCAGTGACGCGGATCGCGCCGTCTCGTTCGCGCTGCTGTTGAAAGTTAACGTGCTGTTACGTTCGAGTCGGTAATGCAGTGACGCGGTTCTCGCCGTCCCGTTCGCGCTGCCGTGGGATCAGTTTTTGTTTGATGCAAGTATAAGCGTACCGTATCTACCCTTTTTGTTTTAATCTAAGGGATCAGCTGCACAAGCAGCTGATTGTTGTTTTCATACTCTACATTATTTGAAGAATCAGTCAAATTTCATCTTGCGTTATATAACTTTATTTTACGTTTTTTTTTACAAGTTCATGCGAGCAGCTGACGCATAATCCCCCTCCATGATGCAGCTAACAATTTTTTTCTCAGTTCAGTATGATGCCAACTATTTAAAGTTGAAGCCAGCGTACCTACTATTACTTGAGCAGCTGAAGGTCTGTTCAGTTATAAGTCATATACGATCAACTATCAATGTTAATATCGACCGGCTTACTATGACTTTTGCATTTGCGACGCTACATCCCGGACTATAAGCCTTCCTCAATAAATGCACTAAGACAAAAAAAAATTCAAATCGGACCATAAGTTCCTGAGATTTGTGTGTTCAACCAAAAAAGGTGCAATTGAGCTAAACTACGCAAGAAATTTTTGAACTCTCAGTTAAATAAATTAAATTATTAAACTTTTCTACAAGTTTTAAGAGTTTTTAGATATATTTTAGTCCGACGAAAGAAACCACAGTAATACGACAATGACGTTTAGTTGTTTACTAATTTGTTGACGTCACAATCATGGTGGACAGCGTTTTAGTGTTTAAAAAGCATAGACTAAAAAACAATTTTTCAAATTAAATTAGTACAGCCTAGATTTTATGAAGTGAAATCGATGTATTTAGGGTTCCTCAAACCAAAAATTATAATAAACATTTGTATAGTGCAATTTGACATGTGTCAACTAGCCTATTTAAGTAGGCACCTCTATATCTCATCAACGGTTTTTTACCAAAATCGTATCCTCCACCTGGCGTTGTCGTGGTTTAAAAGTTAGTTAAAAAGTAAATTAGCGTAAAAAGGCCAGTCAATAAATAGTGCAACGCTTTAAAATTACCATAATTGCTTATCCTCATAATTGAGTGTCTAGCTTGTTGACTTTATGTGTAGTAATCGATGTAGGTACTGACAGTAATTACGAAATGGAAGTACTGTTTTCATTAGCATATATTTCAACAAACACTCAACGAAAAATAGATAAATTAATATACAGGGTGGTCCAACTAGTGACGTCAACAATTTTTTTTTAGATTCCTCGCACCTGGGGTTTCTGAAAATACCCCAGGCTGATTAAGTACAATTTTTTTTATGACTTTTGGTAGTTTAGAAGCATGCGGAGTTTTTAATTTTAGTCAGAAGCTATGGAAACTCCTTTTTATATTTTTGTATTGAAGTTGAACGTTTGTGTAAATCGTACTAAAAACTAAAGATCCAACTTTCAAGCCTTTTTTGAGTTACTCTAAGTAATTGTAGGAAGTTGAGTTATTTTTTTATTAAAACAACATTCAAGACAATTATGTCACAAAAAAGACTGCAAAATACCTACTACGAAAAAAGATAAAAATTTTTGAAACCTCGCTGGCAGAAATCATACAAAAAAAAATATAACTCGAAAACTAAGAAAAATCGCGGAACATACAGGGGGTATTTTCGGATACCCCAGGTCCAATCTAAAAAAAATTTGTTGACGTCACTAGTTGGACCATTCTGTATAAAACTGAATATGTTCTAGAAAAGCGACATGCGCCCCATTTTATGAAGATACATTTCTCTTATTAAAACGATACCTGTATCGGTCTGCAATTCCTTGAAGTCGTCCAATCAATTTTATTGACAATATCGAGAGTAGCGTTCGGTTTTCAATATACTTTGTGAATTAATAAAATACGCATGGTAAAATGACTCTACGCACAAGACCCATGAACAACTTGTACTTCCAAAGCAATATTTCTAGCGAGGTGTGGCAAAATTGAAAAACAGCAAAATAAATTATATTATATTTGTACGATACATTTATTTCTTGAATCGATTAATGTAACAACTTAAGTAACGAAGTTCAATAAACATTTATACGGGTAACAATATCACCAAAATATGTTCTACTGGAACGACTCTATTAAAATACAGTACTATCGATATAATTTTATGAGTATGCGAAATATAATCTCTTGAAAGATGGTGGGACAATTATCCGGTGCCGATCATATCGGTTGTTCGGCTAAATTGATTGTTTAGGTGTTAAGCGCGGTCATACACCTGCAGGCCTATTAAAAGCAACTTGCGACCGCAATGCAACCGAGTTGCTGATTCGGTTTTTTTATGAATTTGGAAGCAATTAAGGTAACGTAATGTTTTAATGGCATTTTGACCGACTGTTCTCATGCGCAATTCGGTAACAACCAGTCGCAAAGTTGCTTGTTAGATCATAGGCCTGCATGAGTCAAGTGTTTCACTGCACTATTTAATTTTACAAGCAGAGCGTGATTTTTTTTAATTGGTATGTCCAGCTAGTTCACCACATTTAAATTAATTAAAATCACGTATCGCCTGCCTCGTTTCCAATTTATTTAGTGCCGCATAATGTTATTCCCTTTTTTTTGCGATCAGACATTATGTTTGCGATCAGTCATCCAATCATTTACTTCTTTCTTTTCCATATGATCTTTGACCATCTTTTTCACCCAGTGTATATCTTTTCTTATTTGTAGACTAATCTACATTCATGTTGGCACCAGGATAGTCAGTTACTTCTAGATATTTCTGTCACTGCCACCACTTTCAAAGTTCCCTTCATCTCGTTGCTCACTTTATGAATTCTTATCACTTAACATATCCATCTTAATATACGAAGATTCGTATGGATGAAAGTGAATTGTACGTCGGTGAGATCACCGACTTACAATTCACTTTTATCCATCTATGTGTACTTACGGTCTTAAAGAAAATTCCAGAGAATATTATAAGTTTTATAGTTTATATAATGGTTTTATAAATTTTCCACTTCAATTGGATAGACATTAACTTTATTACTAGAAAGTCAAGTGCGTAATACATTTTTATCGTTCGAATCAGTCTCCACCTTAAAACTACTATACATGATTTCAGCTTACACTAAATTTTCAATGCGTTTAATCAAAATACATTATAGTAACTTGCAGGATAAAAAATAATCCGATCTATAAAAATCCACACATTGTTTTCAAGTTTTCCATTAACTTGAATGCGTACAATTAATGAATTCGGTGAAGACACCTAAATTGCTAGGTAATTTCGTTAACTCATGGTTCTCGATATAGTAGCGTGCAAATCCAATAGCTCATTTCCCATTAGGTGGTGGAACTCAGCGTATTTTTAACGATGACCTCGAAACTTAGCTGTTGCCAACAATTAGGGCAAATTATTTGTTTAAAACTGTAAAGTGTAAAGCACTGTGTTTGAATTATTCAAACTCTAAAGGTTTGATGATTCTCGACTCGACTGATGTGTCGCGATGATTGGCATTTTTTCAGTTCATGGTGTAACAATAAAAGATCATCGTGAATATAAGGGCATTGCTTCCTGCCCACAATGCTGCAGTTTTTTGTTATTTTGAATTTAAGTTTACTTCTTCCCACTTACAGCTCTGCAATCATCAGTATGTCAGTGTCAGTCAGTATTCGAAACTATAAACGAGCACGTATGCACATAAAGGTCTCAAGTTTTTGCTACAAAAAGAATTTCTACATCTGCTAATCCTTTATATTATACAAAAACCCTTAAATTGTATTTGCTAAACATTTGTAAACACTGCGCAACGTCATAATTTTAAAGTTTTGTATTTATCAGGTTCGGGCTGTCTAATGGCGCAGTTCATCGTCAGTTTCAACTGCTTCACAGCTATGATATTTGGAAGAGGTATCAGGACAACTGTCAGCAACGGAAAGATCATCAGACGAAGCAGCCGGAGCTTCGTGTGCCGCCAAAGGCATCAACTCCTCGTCACCACCAGCGTATGAAACCCCGTTGCGTTTCATATTGTTTATTAAAGTGTCCGCTTCGCGTGTCCAGCAATCTGTTAGGAAACATTGATATGTGTGATATGTTTACGTCTACAAAAGACTCTTTGTTTGTTAACATATAAAAAAGAATATTTGTGTAGAAAAACAGCATTGACTTAATTCAATTTAATAAAAAACACAGCCGATATACTTAAGGAAGTGAAAATCTGTAAAAAAATCAGGAGTGGAAAGTGGGTTACGATAAAGAAAGACTCTCTGGAGAAACAAAGCGTTTACCTACCTAATCTCTAACCCCCTTATTAATAAACAAGAAATAAGCTTAGACTAGTTACGCCATGTTTTGTTCATGTCACTCAAATGCCATTTGTCATTCAATGAACAGAGACAAAATATGGAGTAAATAATCCAAGCTTATTCTTCGTTTATTAGTAAGATGGAAGGAGATTATGTTTGTGCGTTCAAATGTATAAATATATACTATTATTTTTTTCAAAAGACTACTGGTTGACATTATGTTTAACTTTTTGGTCTATTATTCATTACTGTACGGACAAACTAACTATCTACTAACTAACTTTTTGGTCTATTTTTCATTACTGTATGGACAAAATATCGAAACAAACGAATATCATTATAGACTTCTCTTAAGAGTGTAAAAAGAACAAAATAGAACTTACTAGGTCTTTTTTCTGGAGGCACTGGCTGAACCGTCGTTGGCGGCGGTGGCTTGCCAGCAGGTCTCAATCTTCTAGGACTCCGAGCCAATGCATGTGAAATGCTAGGCAACCTTATGTCTAAATGCGATCCTCTCTCTGTAACTATCTTGTTGTTCATCGCGTACAGCTTGGTGGTGATATCGCGCGCTATGAGGGTAGTTACGACGAAAGCCAAGTATTGTTCCTTTACGAATAAATACTCTAAAGAACTGCGCTGCCAGTATACGTAGCGACAGGATGATGCCGCCACAATCGACACCTGTGACAAAGAAAATGATTTTCAGCTCTAAACTATAACTATGTATTGAAAGATTCTTAAATATTTTTTTTTCAAAGTGAACTGTACAGTTCAATCTTCTTTATTATCACGCAAAAACGGCTGAACTGATATGGATAAAATTTTACACACAATACTTCTAACCTGGAAAGAGACATAAAATACTTTTTATCATGGAAAAGTAGGTTCCTGAGGGATTTTCAAAAAACTAAGTTAACGCGGAAGGAGTCGCGATGCGGGCGACCGTAAATCCTACTAATATTATAAATGTGAAAGTTTATGGTATGTTTGTGACTCAATCACGGAAACACTTCAGAACCGATTTGGATGAAATTTATGACCTGGACCTGGAGGCATAGGATGGATTTATCCAGGAAATATATTAAGTTCCTATAGGATACTTAAAAACTAAATTCATCGCGGACGAACTTGCCGCTAGTACACAATAAATATAAGAAACGTTAATGTATTTAAAAATAACATACAAACGAAACATCACCTAGATAAATAAGATTTACAAGCTGATCATCGAGCGCATACCTAATTATCCAAAAATTTTGTGTACGAGTAACAACTGTGAAATCAATCCATTACCATTAGTAAGTTGCCGGAAGTTTGGCAGAACGTTTTGCCATTTGGCAGATAGCCATTACCTTAAAATCTTATTTGCTTTACAAGAGAATAAATGGAAATCCGTAATACATAATACAGTTATGTAGGTACTTACTTTCAATTAGTAATAGTAGTCTCATAAAGATATTATTTGAATTCAACGAACAGCAAAACCTTTATTATTCCGTTCCTTAATCACCAGAACTTTATGTCCATGATAAAGCTTCTAATCAGGCATTTAATCAGGCCAGCGTTTTCGTAACACTGTTTCGACTTCATCGATATTTAACCTAGTTTCTTACATTTATAGCCACTTCGGCTGTTATGCACCCATATCAGACAACAATTAGGTCACTGAAAACGCTTGGGTAATGCCAATGCGTGACGTACAAGAGAATAAACCACATTTAACTCGAAGATTATTAGTAAATTTTTGAGAAAAAAATCGCTTATTTGATAAAATTGACAAAAAAATTCAGGCATTAATAAATCATGGGAATAATTAAAAGGTATAATCACTAACACATACACACTTAGATTATATTTAAATTAAAACCAAACAACCAGTTGATTTGAAGTACTTTTGGGTATCTACTTCCGAAAATTGTAGTGTTAATAAAGCAGACAAGTCACGACATAGTTGGAAAGTTCCAGTAAGCATTTGCATTTTGTAAACAAATTTATCGATCAGTAGATACAGACCGGAACAAGCAAACATAACCATAACCTTCCTTTATTTATTCACAATTTAATCATAAAAAAAAATCATGCGTTCTTTTGGTTTTGTTATATACCTACCAACGTATTTGCCAGAGGGAATCGTTTTCCTTAAGACACTATGCAATTCCAATATTGATATTCAGACTTGGTCTATTCATTACGTCACAGATCAGAGCGAAAGGATGCTATGTGTGACAAATGGGCCACAGGGAAGAGGAATAGAGTTTCGGTAATGTTTATTATTATTTATACGACTCGCCCTTTTGAGGTTCCGTATCCAATAAGTTAAAGTCAAGTAATAGTGGAACCCTGTTACTTAGCCTTCACCGTTCGTCAGCGTCAGGGTTGTAACTTAATTAGATCCGTAATAGGTAGACAATTGCAATTTTTACACAGAATTTATATTTCTTTTCCTGCTAGATATAACTAAAATATAAAAATAAAATAAATTAACAGAATTAAAGTCAGGAATCGTAATAAACACAACTACTCTTCCGGACCAATCTGCGGAACACTTTTAAAAAGCTTTTATTTAACTTGCAGTGTATGTATGTATGGATGTTTGTTCGGGTGGAATCTTGGAACTCAATTTGAAGCAGATGTCTTCATTCGATTAAGTTGAAATTTTGTACCCTCGTAAGGTTTGGGTGACAATGTATGGTGAGCTGGGTAACGTCATTCTATATCCAATATGGCGGACTAGTTATTTTTGATGCACTCTAATAAATAAAAGGGTTTGCTGGGAATAACTCGAAAAATATGTTAATGTCACATTAAATCAAATATGGCGGACTTAAAAAGTAGGCGGACTAAGTTTTATATGTTTTCCTACAATATGAGAATCAAATGGAAGGGCTTGCTGAGAATAACAAAATTTCTTTACCTTTTTATTTATTTATCTATGACATCGCCCCGAGTGCAATCAAAAAATGTGTAAAGGTCTTTTGACATATGGCCAGTTTCAATAATCAAACTCCAGTAAAGGTAGGCCTTCTCGAGCTTTGTTGCTAAAGGACAATGGGAAGAAAGGACCCCCCCCCCCCCCCAAGATTTGAAACAAGTGTCATTCGAAGCGCAAATATTATGGGGTTTAGGTTTTATAAATACAAGAAGTGCCCTGCAGTTTCACCTGCATTAATTTAAGGTATAGGCATATGCTGTCATGGGACTTTTTTTATAGATCTTTTAAAGGAGAACAATTCTGCTATACATGATTTTTGTGTAACTTTTACCGTTTAGGCAGCGTACGTAACGGAAGGTCTAAAATGGAACATTTTTTCTCGTATTTGCAACATTTTTCACTGTTACTCCGCTCCTTTTGGATGTATCTTTATGTAATATTTATAAGCTATATTTATAAATAAATGCACTATCCAACAAAAAGAAATATTCAAATCGGATCTAGTTCACGACTTCATGTAAAACGAATTAGATCTTAGATACCTCTAAGAATTAGATAGAACCTGGGAAATTCAAAGGCAAATCCAAGCCAACCGAAGCAGTAAATGGCAACTAAGATCTATAAAAACGCAATGACACCGACTGCAAATTATTTTTGACTTTAAATGTAGGTTAGAAGTAAAGAGTATTATTTCTTCTTTTAAGTTGTTTTGTTTTTATAAAGTTGGTTTTCATTTTTGTTAAAGAAGTTTTTATTTCAGCCAGAGCAAGATCAACTTACTAAGTACTGGTACCTGGTTTGCATTATCTCCTTCATATCTTAGTGCGCGGGTTCGAGTCCCGTCTGCTGCCTGGTCCGCGTGAAATTTTTTCTAGTTAAATATAACTATATATTTAACTAGAAAAAAATATATATTACATATATATATAACTATAATTGCTATTTCTTCTTTCAAATGTTTAATACTTGTAAAAGTATTCGTTTGACATTGTGGGTTACCCATAATGCGAAGAGATGGCGCTGCCTTGCAGCTTAAGAATGGCTAGAAGAATTTCGACGCGGTCCGTGAGGGCCGCGGTAGCATAATTGGTCAGTGCATTCGCCCGGATTGCGAAGGGTGCGGGTTCGAGTCCCGTCTGCTGCCTGGTCCGCGTGGAATTCCTTCATATCTCTTAAAATAAGCAAACACGAATTGAATACTGTTTGTAATCGATGGGTCCATTATTTTTTCCGAAAGTACTGATCAGATTGTCACCAAATTAATACGGGACCATTACGCCAAAATACAAAATCAAACAAAAAATTAATCATCAAAATCGGTATACCCGTCTCGGAGAGATGTGCGAGCAACAATAAAAAAACATGTAATGACGAATTGAGAACCTCCTTCTTTTTGAAGTCGGTTAAAAACGAACATTTAGTAATACATTGTATTTGCAAATCAATAATTTTTCACAGGAGACCATTTTTTAAAGAAAGAAATATTTTTGTATGAAAATAAAGAAATTATTGCCGAAATGATTTTTTATTAATTATAATTAAACCCCATCGATTTCCCAACTAAAACAAGTGTTTTGTCCCTTTTTGCGTACGAATGAACAAATCCACACGCATTTCGAGTCTGTTGCATGGTCCATACAAAATCCCCCATGGTCCTTTTTTATTATTTATAGTTTTTATAATTAATATTTATAGTTATAACATCAGCAAAATCGGTGCTAAGAAACAGAACCAGATTATCCTTTCTTTTTAATGGAGGTTGATCATTGAAACTGGCTGTAAGTAAATAATTTAGAATCTAAACCGGTTGATGGTAAATTAATATGACGTGAAGCAAATAAGTAACTTCATACATTAAAATGATTTAAAAAAACTGAACTTTGACCCGATTCCAAATGAAAAAGGGATCGGCCTGCGGCCCAGCAGTTTGGAATTTAATCCTTGACGGACTTCTCGGTCTGACGCTGCCCGACGGGTGCCACATCCAGGCGTACGCTGACGACGTCTTGCTCATCACAACGGCTAAGGACGTTAATACTCTTCAGACTCGCACTTGTACCGCCTTAGACACGATCGCTGATTGGGGACATAAGGTCAAACTAGTCTTCGGCCATGAAAAAACCCAGGCTCTTGCATTTTCTCCTAAAGCTGGTCGAGCTCGTATTTTTATGCAGGGTAGGCACATCGTCTTTGACCGCTACTTCAAGCTTGGGTGTCATTATTGACAATAAATTAAAATTTAATAAGCACATCTCATACGTTGTACAAAAGGCTCACAAATTGTTCCAGCGTCTATGTCTTTTTGTCCGCCCTTCCTGGGGTCTTCATCCAGAAAATATAGATTCCATTTATCGTTTTGCTATTGCCCCCGCTGTGACATACGCTGCCAGTGTGTGGAGTCATGCTATCCACCGGGGTTTGCTTTGCGAGCTATTCGAGCATTCCGCACAACTTCTACCAATGCTTCTCTTGCTCTCGCTTCTTTTATCCCGATAGACCTGGAAGTACTTCGCGTCGCTGAAGCGGAAAGGACCCGCCTATTAGGTACATCCACGTTCCTCCCTGATGACCTGTCCTTGGAGATTTTTACTCCCGTGCCTCTTCTACCCCATCCGGCTCTACGTATCTCACCCGATTATGCAGTTGCTACCACCCCAGAGGGGATTAATTTTGCATGCCTGGAGAACACTGTGTTGATTTACACAGATGGTAGTAAACAGGATGACGATAAGGTCGGAGCTGCTGTCGTCTGTGTCGATCTTGACGCGCTCCCGACCGTCACAGTTAAATAGTACAAGTTGCACAAAGTCTGCACAGTGTTCCAAGCTGAACTATTTGCCATTCTGGGAGCCTGTCAGGTGGCCGTCAGCAGGAAGTACACGGACGCGCTGATTTGTTCCTACTCACTCTCTGCTCTTCAGGCGCTGCAACAGCGGAGTAGTACTATGCCCCTTGTGACCCTTATCCATAAGGCTATAATAGATCATAAACCAATCGGCAAGATCCGATTCTGTTGGGTCAAGAGTCATACGGGTATTCCTGGTAACGTACGCGCGGATGCGGAGGCTGGGGAGGCGGCAGCTCTCAGACGCGCGCCAGATTACTGGCATTACTCCATCTCAGTTGTCAAACGCCTCTCTCGTATTCAGGCCCAAGAAGAATGGGAAGAGTGCTACCGAAATGCTCCCCAGGGCAGCCATACGAGAAACTTGTTTCCCTCCCTCCAGAACATACTAGACTTCCGATCTCACTCTACACCTTCTTTCCAACTTTCACAATTTCTTACAGGCCATGGTGCGCATAGAACCTACCTTCATAGATTCTTAATAACTTCAACGGATTCTTGCCCTTGTGACCGATTTATCTTCTGACCGAGTGCCCTCGATTTGCCTCGCAGCGCCACTCGCATGTAGCTGTCTACGGTAATAAGGTCCCATTCAACTTTACTGATCTCAGTCGACACAGTAGGCTGGTTGAGTCCGTGGTACGTTTTATCACTTATATATATGACAACATTAAGGCATTCAACGAGACTTCCCTGATTTCACTCTCTCATTCCTCTTCCTCGACCTCTTCTACCTCTTCCATTCCTTCCATCAGCCGTTTAGGGCCTGCTGCACCTACACTATCCCCTGAACCGCAGGCACATTCTCCTATAGTTCGTCCCTTCGTCTCCATTCCTTTATCATGGCCACCAAGCACTGATCCCGATAGTCCCGGCACACAGCGGCAGTCGTCGCCTTGAGTTGCATGCGGCGTGTATAAATAATTGTTAGGTAGGTACATTCATTTAGTTAAGTCTGTGTTTATTATTGTTGTTTAATATGTAACTATAACCATTATTGAACATGTGACCTTATATTTTCTTATTTATATTTTTTTATAATTTCTATTGTTTATTTTATCATTAAGTTTAAAGTGTCTCACAGACAGACGCGGCCTGCGGCTGCGGCCTCTCCTATGTGTATTTCTGTAACCACCACGACCCCGGCCGCAGCCGCGGGCGGCGTCTGTCTGTGAGACACTTAATATTGAATATATTTCGTCAATGGCTGTATATCATGCAAGATCGTTATATCTATTCCCATACACTGTTACTCCCATCCTTTAAACCTTTTATTTATTTTCTGTTTCGTTTCCTTTCCTCTCCTCTTCTTTCGCCTCTCACTATTATTAAACCGTCCACTCCTCTCCCTGTCTTTCCCACCCATTCGACCTCCCTGGCTGCAGCTCGACGCGGCCTCGGATTTTGATGGGGCTGAGTAGCCCCATCAAAATCCGAGGCCGCGTACCAAATATCGAATCCTCTACATCACAATTATGTTATATTCATCACCTTAAAATTTAATAAATAAGTGAGTGTTAAAAAAAAATCATATTACTTATTTTAGTGGCAAGTTTCACTTTACATGGTATTAGGTAAAAAGGTTGTCATGTAAAAAAGAAGCACTATACTTTCTACAGATGGCATTAACTCAATCTAAGTTGTAGGGCACGTCACTTAAATATGGTAAAAGCTCGTGCTTTAAGTGAACAGTGTTCCTTGAATAATGAAGTCATCAACGGAGCCCGTTAGTTGGCTCCATCGCTTTATAATGGCAAAACCGTCAGAGGCTCATTTTTGCGTGAACTAAGAGACATCGAGATATAAAGTAGAAGGCGCAACAAGATGAAACAGTATTATTTTTGCTACACGAACTGAAACGGTGCATAATTTATAATCTTTTTCGCCCACTTAACACAAATATAATCACTTAGTTTTGGAAAACAGAAAAAAAATTTAACCACCGTTCTCAATATAAATTAAAGCTTTATTATTCCTATTTAATAATAGAACTAGCCTTATACCCGGTGTAAAAGTCCCTAAATTAAATTAAGAAAAAATAACAAATCATTCTGGCTTTGTTTTTAAAGTCAAATGGAGATTAGAATCAGATTTTTTTCTGCAAGCATTGAACTTGGTAAGCTTTTAAAATTGATTTGAGAACTTTAGTGCACACTTGCACCAAAGTACAATACTGCACAATACTTAGACCCACTGGTCTAAGTAAAAATTAAAAATTACATGAAAAGACCATACCTTAAATTTCTCATCGATCGTAGCTCTACTGGATTCAAACTCCGGCGAGTCCAGAAACTCACATGGAAGGATTGGATGTAGAAACTGATGACCGCTCATTACGTTCACCTGTTGACCGCATAGAAAAGCTATAAATATATATACGTATAAATCAACCCAAACATTTCTATGCCTGACTTGTCTCATATTAATTTAGTGTAAAGAAATAAAAAATGATGTGGTGTCGTGAGACACCAGGTAGGAACGAAGTTCCTTCGGCTAATGTAGAATCGACACAAATTGCAAACTCGCTTGTGTATGCGACTGTCGCGCCTGCGCACGTCTCATTTAACGGTTTTATTCCACGCACTTTTTTCCACGGATTTTTTCTTACGATTTTACTATCACATTTTTTTCAGTTCGATCGCGCAGCAAAATCCCTATCCCCTCCAAGCCTGCCGTAAGGAACTTCGTCGCGCCTGCGCACGTCTCATTTAACGGTTTTATTCCACGCACTTTTTTCCACGGATTTTTTCTTACGGTTTTACTATCACATTTTTTTCAGTTCGGTCAGCTAGTGTTCGTAAAGATTGCTAGGCAGGACTGGCCCACAGTTTATAATAAACTACAATGTCACAATAATCCAGTAATGCAGCCCCGTCGCTCTGCCACCCCCCTGGACTTTTAATATAATATACGACAATAATCCAGTGTTGGTACAGTTTAATATAATATACGACAATAATCCAGTGTTGGTATAATGCCACAATAATTTGGGGTTGCACCCCCGTCGCTCTGTCACCCCCTGTTAAGTACTGACCTTGTTATCATGTCTAGCTTAAGTTTACAGCAGATGACAGGCGTTCCTGGTCCACAGCTCGGTATAACGTCACAAATATCCAGATTTCGTGTAATGTCACAATATTCCAGTGCTGCACCCTCGTAGCTGTGCCACCCCCTACATACGCACCTTATTATCATGTCCCGCTAGCGTTCGTAAAGGATGCTAGGCAGGACTGGCCCACAGTTTAGAATAAACTACAATGTCACAATAATCCAGTGATGCACCCCCGTCGCTCTGCCACCTCCTGATAAGTACTTACCTTGTAATCAGAATCATGTCTCACAGGCGTTACTGGTCCACAGCTTGATATAACTTCACAAATATCCAGTGTTGGTGTAATATCACAATATTTCAGTGATGCACCTTCGTCGCTCTACCACCCCCTATAACTTCACACATATTCAGTGTTGGTGTAATATCACAATATTTTAGTGATGCACCCTTGTCGCTCTACCACCCCCTATAACTTCACACATATTCACTGTTTGTGTAGTATCAAAATATTTCCGTGATGCACCCTCGTCGCTCTACCACTCCCTATAACTTCACACATATTCAGTGTTGGTGTAATATCACAATATTTCAGTGATGCACCCTCGTCGCTCTACCACTCCCTATAACTTCACACATATTCAGTGTTGGTGTAATATCACAATATTTCAGTGATGCACCTTCGTCGCTCTACCACCCCCTATAACTTCACACATATTCACTGTTTGTGTAGTATCACAATATTTCAGTGATGCACCCTCGTCGCTCTACCACCCCCTATAACTTCACACATATTCAGTGTTGGTGTAATATAACAATATTTCAGTGATGCACCCTCGTCGCTCTACCACCCCCTATAACTTCACACATATTCAGTGTTGGTGTAATATCACAATATTTCAGTGATGCACCCTCGTCGCTCTACCACTCCCTATAACTTCACACATATTCAGTGTTGGTGTAATATCACAATATTTCAGTGATGCACCCTCGTCGCTCTCTCTCTCCTGCCGTAAGGAACTTCGTCGCGCCTGCGCACGTCTCATTTAACGGTTTTAATCCACGCACTTTTTTCCACGGATTTTTTTCTTACGGTTTTACTATCACATTTTTTTCAGTTCGGTCGCGCAGCAAAATCCCTATCCCCTCCAAGCCTGCCGTAAGGAACTTCGTTCCAATAAAACTAGTTTTTACGGGTTAATGCACGAAACTTTATTTATTTATTGACGTTTCGTAGCCTTTACAGGCTACGTCGTCAGAATCAAACTTTTATTTAATTTGTCGAGCTACCTTCGAAAGCCAGCTGAACTTCAGCATGTCGAGCAAGTACTGAAGGATAATAACCTGAATGTACCACGTCGCCGTCACAGTCGCGCCAAACCTAGCACAGTCGACCGACAACCTGCTATACTACCTTACATGAAAGGAGTTACTGACAAGATTGGGAGGATTCTGAAGCGTGCTTCAATCAATACATACTTCAAGCCGCCAAAGAAGATCAACCAGTTTCTACGACCGGTCAAGTGCAATATACCCTTTCAAGTTGCTGGTGTCTACAAACTTGAATGCAACTGTGGGCTCTCCTACATCGAGCAAACAAAGAGGAGTATAGAGACTCGGGTAAAAGAACATATCGCAGATATGAAACATAGGCGCGAAAATAAGTCTGCAGTGTGTGAACATGCATTAGGGGGACCAAACCATTACATTAGATTTGATAAACCACAGATCCTTGCAGCTGAGCGGCGGTTCGTTCCTCGAATGATGCGCAAGGCTATTGAGATTAAAAAATATCCAAATTTCAATAGGGAAGATGGTTGGTATATACTACCAGCTTGGGAACCTATTATACAGGAGATAAAATCCCAACCCCGCGCACACACTGCAAGACCATCAGATACTATTAGTTCTTTTTGTTTGCATAATTTAACATAAGAAGGAGATAGAAAGCCTCTCTTGAGTTTGTTTCGCCGGTTCTTCTCAGAAAGGTCTCCCAATTTTGGAACCGGTGGTAGTTTACGGTAGTTAGGGTCAAATAAATAAACTCAAAATTACAAAAAATAATTTTAAATAAAATACTTTATTAAGTCAATTAAATAATAAATTCATACATAGACAATAAAACTTTAAAAATCAAACAATGAAATAACCGAACGCTCAATAAAAGTCTTTCGAAGGTAGCTCGACAAATTAAATAAAAGTTTGATTCTGACGACGTAGCCTGTAAAGGCTACGAAATGTCAATAAATAAATAAAGTTTCGTGCATTAACCCATAAAAACTAGTTTTATTTAATGAGTGATGTGCGTGAAAACCTAAGAAACAAATATGTAAAGAAATAATATAAACCTGCTTGAAGTTATAACTGAAAGTCATACAAATAAGTAAATACACTCGGCGTCAAAAAAATCGCACCTCCGCGAAAATAACTTTCAATTATTATAATAACACTTAAAATACGCATTTTCCTCCACCAATATTGGTGTCATTTGAAAGCCCATTAAATAAATAAAAAAAAACAATTCAATGATTTTTATTGGAATACTGCAAAAATAATAAAGTTTACAAAACAATAAAAATCGGCGGGCTTGCCGATGTTCTGCGGTCAATTTTGGACCCGTGGCAGCTCTATGAATCGCTATCTTTTTCTCCCTGCCTTTTTCTAACCGTAGAAATGCTTACGGTTGTTCTGCGAGCTGCCTGGAGCTGCTGTTTTAACTCAACAGTATTAGAGAACCGATTTCTTAGAGATGTCGATACGCTGAATCGGTCGACTCTCTCCGAGGTACACCGGCTCATTAGTTGCCGAGCGACATCACACTACCGCATCCGCGATTTTTTTGTGAAAGATCTTCTCGTGTGTCCTCTTCAGCGGTTGGATAGCGAATAACCCCCATTGAACCTGTATTATTCCTTTCATACCCACTAAAGAGAGCGCAACTAATGGCCCCTTTGAGGAGCAAAATTGGCATTTTTTTTAAAGTTGTTGCACAAATGTGTTGTGGTATCAACCTTTTATTTACTGAAACAAAATGATATTTTTTTTAGTTTATTTAATGGGCTTTCATCATCAATGACACCAAAATTGGTGGGGGTACATGCGCGTGTTAAGGGTTAATAACGATTGAAAGTTATTTTCGCGGAGTTTGTGTTTTTTTGACTCCGAGAATAAGTTAAAATGTCAAAACTCATTCATATTTATAAATGTTTTATTTATAATATTTAAACGTGACTTCCTTAGGGTACTATATCAAGCAAAGGTTACATCGAATGCCACTTTCCTAATGTGAATCCAAGTAGCTCTTCATTTCATTCAATCCAGGCAAGCCTATACGAGTAGGTCTATTATCGGCTACAATACTTTTTATGCAATCGGTTGATTCAAACAGAGTCTTTGATCGTATCACATAACTGACATTATATAAATATATTGGTGTTGACTATTGGCCGCTAGATCATGTTTATGACCGAGCTCTGTCTTAGATTGATACATCTATATTGCCTCCAAGACCTAAGATATATTGGTGCAAATGATGCCTAAGTGAGACAGCAACATAAGATATCGATACTTACCTGACTCAAATTAAGTATTACTTATTATACTACAGATATGATTGTGACCTTTATTCCCTGTTAGTAGTTCCATTTAGCTCAAACTAAATTTTATTTGAAAAATCTAAAACATTAATCAGTAAACAATAATACTTAATACCTGCTACTTTCCAGTAAATCACACCAAACAAATGAATGTAATGCACCTATGTCTATTAAAAAGGGTACTTACTAAAATCAATGCAGTATCCGATAAAAAATGTAGCCGCCAAATTAAAGTATCGATGTCACGTTTCACGCATTAGGCAGGCGCAGAATCGCTATATAAATTCATTACAAACATTGGCACGTGTCCCCACAAAAAATATTTTAAACTGCTCGCTCCCTGACAAAGTGTAACTTAAAGTTTACTTTTGCAAGCTTTACAACAAGGATAAAACAAGTTTTTTATCTGTACCTGTACCTTTGTGTTTTCCAAGAGGTAAACTCGCTATGATTTATAGACTAAGATCCCAGGTCTGCTAATTTTTTACTTATTTTCTGATGGTCAAAATATGGTTAATCAAGCAGAATTAATGAAAAAAATTAACATATACATACCCACTTACTTGAGCTGTGGGCCAATTCTAAGGTATCAGGTGGCACAGGTACATAAAAAATTTACGCATTTTACTTACAGTCTGAGAACTCATTACATTCGTTATAGAGAATATTGTAAACAATTTGAAATTAATACTACCAAACACATTCTGTCAGTAGTTTTTATTGCCAGCACTTTAAATGTTGAAAGCAAAGTAAACAACCTTTTTTTCTAAAATAATTTTTAAATAAAATATTAAAAAAATATTTTACTATCTTTTTTACAATCATCACTGCTGGATCTTTTTTTTTAATTTGGATACAGATATATCGATTTCTGATTTCTAGTGGATCATCAAATAGCTCGGTGATGATCTTCTATCTGTCAAAAGCAGTTAGCTAATAGGCCTACTGGTTAGTAGGTGCAAGGTGGTTCAGGTGAGCTATGTCCTTTATGTGTCTTAATGATTGCCAATGCAAATAAACGCTTCAAACTCAAGAGCTATTCGAAAGTTACTCAACCTTCGCCATAACAACAACCGAACAAAGAAAAAGCAGCCAAGTGCGTGCCGGCCTATAGCGTTGGCATAGTGCCCATTTCGCTCTGCCGTTATAATAAATGTTAAACTGATTTTAGGATAATATAATTTAACGATTTCATAACCATTTTTAGATTTAGTTGCATTAAACATAGTTTTAGTTTAAATATTCAACAAATTATCTTGAGGTTTATGACTCAACCTATCTAATATTGTTAACGGGAGAGGTGTTTCATAAGTGCATTTATTTAAGTACTTTATTTCGTGCACCAAAACAAAGTAGGTACTGATATATTTTTCATTGGTACTATTTGGTATGAAAATGGTTTATGGGTTGAAAGATAATAGGATAAAGTACATATTCTCAGAAAAAGTAATCGAAGCAAATATGAAAAAAAACGAATAATTGGTAGGTACCTACTTATCTAAACTCACCTTGCCCGATAGTAGAAGGCCCAGTCGGTCAGTTTTGGTTAAATTTTGCATGGCGTAAGCTTCTCCGGCATGAAGAGACATAATATGTGCAAAATCTGGAGACACCATTCTTTTAAACTGCAGCCGGGATACCTACAGGTAGATTTCATTAAAGCTTCAGTTTATATTCATATTATATCTACTTCCGAGATGTTATCAACATTTTATCTAAGTAAAAACAACGACAATTTTAAATAATTTATTGTCATTTTTATCCTCCCTAATATTTAATCCCTTTTTTTATCGCTTAATAATAAATATTATAATCAGTAACTAATTGTTGCCTTTTCTATCGTTCGGCTTCGAATTCTTGACAAAAGAAAAACCACTAAGAATTCCAGTTCCGCAACAAAGTTCATTCAAAGGCACGTAGTTTACCTTGGGATGAACTTTGTTGTAAAGGCTTGAAATACTGTATGTAATATTCTCGGCACAGCGAGCTTCGAGCCCTAAAATATTGCTGATTTGTATCCAAAGTTTATAAAAGTCTATAAAGGATATGCGTGAGATACTTCCCAAGCTAGTTACTCAAACTTCTTAGGTAGCAGGTAGCCAGAAAAAAATTCGTTGTTTTTTACTATCTGTTAATGCAATAACAAATTAAACTATTAAAAGTTTAAATCATTGAAGCAATAAAAACACAAAGTAGGCAGCAAAGAATGTCAAATAATTGTAGTCAAAAGTCTCCAACTGCCCTCTTTTTTAAATTGTAAGTTCTGAGTGCCCTTGACATTAACTGATAATCAAAACAGTTGCATAAACCGAAAGTATAGCTTACCCTGAAGGGCTCAAATAGCGTGTGGTAGACTTCCTCAAGCTCCGGGTCGAACTTGACGGGTCTCATCTCGTACACCAAGTAAACAACCTGCGCGAGGTTCAGGAACACAAAGCCAAAGTTCCATGAGAAGGCGTCCGGTGAACATATCACGTGCCACGCCCATATCGAGTATAGCATGAAAGCTGCAGAAAGCTTACACTGTTAATAGATTAAAAAGTGTTCGTATTACCTACCTACATGACATAGTTAATCTTACTCAACTCATGGTGAATACATAAACCAAATTATTATTATTAAATTATATCATTTGTTTTCATATGGAAAGGGTGATAAACAAGCATTTGGCGCGCCTGATGGGAAGCAACCAGCCACCATTTCCATCAGATGCTTTGGATAAGTATGTTGTAGCATAATATTATTATGGTAAATTGAATTTTCGTGAAATTTCTAGAGATATTGCGAAAACGAGGATAATTATACAATGGTGATGGATGACATTTTTCAATATTTCTGTTAAGTTTTTTTTGTCACAACACTAACCTGAGAACCTAGTGTGAATTGTTAACTTCCGGGCCCAAGAAAGCCAATTCTTCTTTTTGAAATCTTGCTGAGACGACTCGCGGATTCGCAAAAATCCTATCTTTTTGTCAATAATTTTGAGAAATGTCATTACCATTGTCTAAATATCCATATTTTCGAAATACGTCTAAAACTTCCACGAAAATTCAAATCATCCTACGACAGACACGCGGAGAGAATATTTGACTGTAGATTTTTTTATTCGATTCATGGCTAACTATCCCACCCTGATGTTAATAAGTCTGAGTTCATTCGCCAAGATAGAGTCGGTAATATTGTAGAAAAATATGCCAATCTAGCCATTCCCACCATGCTGGCCTAAACCAATTCCCTGCCCCGTAGATCCCAAAAGAACCTGATTCCCTAACAGAAACACATACCATACCATGAAATGGTAGTACTACGTTGCTGTGGTCTACTGTAAAGTGCAGGTTACTTCCCCTGACTGGCGCTTCAATTAGAGCGATAAATCCGTTAAGCAATTCAAGTGAAATGCATGAATTGCCCATAAAACAAAATCGTGAAAAAAGATAGTCTTTCCCTTCTTATATTTTCTATGGAAACTTATTACTTAGGTAGAGCAAATTATTTCTATACCTGTAAAATTTTACATGATCATAAAAGTACCTAGATAGAATGAATATTAGGTATAAGTTTACTCATTTTAATTGCTTATAAGTCATAAAATAGCTAAAGTATTGAAGATAATGTCCAAACATTTCAAAAGTACAATAAAAGCGTATAAGAAATTCGAAATTATGATAAAAGTAATGCGTTTATTCTGTTGTTTATTTTCAGAGAGAACCACCAGGAGTTGTACTAATAAACAAATAGCAAATGAAAAATGAAATATGTGCCCAGCAAAGCGATGCAGAGCCAAATTCGTTTCCAACTTAGCAAAATGCCAGGAAAACGACTAGTAGCTACACTTATTCATTGGAGGCACCTAGTGTATCCGAATCCGAAACACACACTTTTGCAAAAAAAAACGGGTGCCAAAGGAAATTTACGTTCTACGGTCGATTTTTGTTAATCTAATGAAATCTTATTGTTTGACGTAGTCTGTGTACTTATAATCGTGTAAATAACAACGCGTAAAGGGAAGTCTGTCAATTTTTTTATTAATATTCGATGAATTCTTTAAAACCGGTGTACACGGCCAAACAATAAGAAGTGGTCAGCAATAAAGACCAGAAGTTTTTTTTTACTTTTCTTAATTAAATAAAGTTACAAATGTAAAAACCTAATAATGAGTGTGTCCTCTTGCCAAAATTCTCCACGTTTCCACTCTTCTGCAATGACTCTTTTCAGCTCCCTGATTTTTGTGGAGCAGGTTGCACTGATCTTACCCTTCTTTTTAGAACGTTGAGGTCAGGACTTGAAAAAATACTGGGAGATAATAATCTCCCAGTATTTTTCCGGAATAATAATTAATTACACGGAAAACTAAAATGAGTACATTAAAGTTAATAATATTAATAGTTAATAAATCAATCGACCAATGGTTCTACTGAAAATTATCGTAATTTTTATTTTAAAAATTTTGGATAGTCTAGTCAGTCAACCGGACTAAAGGACAAACACAAACAACAGCTTCTCGGCAACACCGATCTACTGATATAAGGTAATGTTCAATATTCCGGGTGACGTGTAAACCGAACTATCTATCGCAACTGAAAAGTTTCAGTAGTCTACCGGGCTACTGCTACTAGGCTCAGTTCCATGCTGATGGTCCATCATCCGGGATTAGTTCACGCAGGTTTGTTTGAATTTTCTCGTCGCCGACAAAGGTTGCACCTACCAGCGGTTTACAGGATGCACCGGGATCGCATAACAATTTGCTTAAGAATCGAGTTACACGGAAAATTAAATCTCACGTATTGTAAAATTATTCATACAAATTTATTTTATTTTACTATTTTGGCAAAATGGCAATAGAACAGTTATATATAGTATATATTAAGCGTAATTCGTGTAATCCAGGTTACACGAGTTTCGCCTAACACGGCAGAGTAGGACACGATTTATTTATTTGTATATCGAAAGTACGCTCTGTGATTAGGTAGTGTGCATTGAAGCAAATTTCATACAAATAATCCTGAATAACGGCGTGAGTTGAAGCGGTGCCCATCCGTTTCCTTGTCGATATATTAGACCAGGGTCGATAATTTTTGAGACCAAAAAAAATATAGTAGGATGAAACCCATTAGAAAAGGTAGAGAATATAACAAAAATGAAAGGAAAAATAAATTACGGGCGATCTGAGGTCGGGAAGGGGGAGGGGGTGAGTTTTTAAGGGTAAAAAATAGTTAATCTCGATTTCCGGTAAAACTGCAAGTCCTATGAAAAAAAGTTAAATGGCAAAGTTGTAGGTAATAAAAAGATCTACAACTTTTGTATCAACACTTTTTTCACATAACCTCAAAATTTATGTGAAAAATGCGAATAACCGAGTTTTTGGTTTTTGATTTTTTCATTATTAATTTGCAGTTTCTGAGAACATTTATCATAGTAGTGTATATTTTTTTTATACCATCAGAAAGTAGAGATTTCAACAAACAAAAACCACCCCAACTTTTTTAAAAAAGCAGATATTTTGACGTGAGAATTTTCGATTGAAAATTAGGGTGCTTTTTGGATATTAAGTCAAAATAAGATGAAAAAATGAATATTTAAAATCAAAAAAATTGCTGTATGTTTGGGACATACAAAGGTAAGTTTTCAAAAAATTTCGTGAAAAAATATTTTTTTTTGCAAAAAGTAAAAATCAAAAACCAGAAACTCGGTTATTCGCATTTTTCACATAAATTTTGAGGTTATGTGAAAAAAGTGTCGATACAAAAGTTGTAGATCTTTTTATTACCTACAACTTTGCCATTTAACTTTTTTTCATAGGACTTGCAGTTTTACCGGAAATCGAGATTAACCATTTTTTACCCTTAAAAACTCACCCCCTCCCCCTTCCCGACCTCAGATCGCCCGTAATTTATTTTTCCTTTAATTTTTTTTTATTCTCTACCTTTTCTAATGGGTTTCATCCTACTATAATTTTTTTTCACTATTCTCCATTTTTAAAATTATCTACCCTGGGCTATATGTCTCATCTCAACCTAAATGTAATAGTTTTTTTTAGTTAGATTGGTTTATTTAGGTGTACAGGGTAGAAATAGATAAAAGGCGAATGCGATTAGTTGGAGCAAAGAATAATGCACTGGCGCAAAGCGTGATGGAAAATATGAATTTATGTACCCGAAATATATTTAGTTACCATTCCTGAAATTATGATTATTTTTTTCAACTAAGCCGCTGGAATGTCGCATACAAAATTTCACGCCCATACATCATCTTAAAATATAAAAGTATAGTTTACCGAATATTAAAATTGTGTGCATCCAGAGTTGTCCTTTTTTTGTGCTAGGAGCGCAGTATGAAGCCACAAACAGTATGTTTGAGAGCTAAAACACAAAAAAAACTGTTAAGGTTGTTGTTAATAGAATACCTAAATGTCGTAAAATTAGTTTCTCAACTTACTTGAAATAATGGATGTTGTGAAATTCTCCACAATGGACACCATGGCCAATACCATGGACCTAAGATTTTGAACAGAATCATAAATAGGCGATTAGTCGATTAATAGCCCGCCCTCGCTTCGCTTCGGTGTAGAGCTGTAGTGTAGGTTGACTATTGTTATTGTTCTCAGGATTGTATTATACATAATGAATTTCTTTATATAATTATAAACCTTCCATAAAAAAAATTTAACTGACTATAAAAATTTTGTTGCGTACTTTAGTTGCACCGAATGCACCATTTTTTTGATTGAACACGCAAATCTCAGGAACTAATGGTCCGATTCGAAAAAATCTTTTTGTGTTTGATCGTACATTTATTCAGAAAGGCTTATATAACACAAGAACACAAGGGTTAGGTATATGACATCACGCTGCGGCCAGTAGGAGCGGACTATCAATGTAAAATGTTGGAAAAACGGGTAAAAATATTTATTTTGTGAGCTTCCGTTGCGTGCGCTGCGTAAATAATTATAGTTACACTAAAATCATGTATGGCCAATTATTCCCCCAAATTTATTAAAAAGTCCGCGATATCATATACCCATCTTTTAAGTTTGGCTCACTATAAGCTTTTTCCTTAAATTAACGCGGGTGAAACCGCAACCAGCACCTCTAGCATGACCACTGAAACGGGATATGATAAAGCGATATATCTTTAGTTGTAACATAACTGTAACAGACATATGATATCGCAGCCTTTTTTGTACATATTGTTGTTCTCTATAAAACTTTAGAACTTCACTTTGCTTTGCTTGACTTCCGCAGCACAAGCTATATAAGGTTATTTTTTGATATTTTTTTCACACCCTGGGTTACGTTATCGAAGTTTTCATACGAAACCCTAACTTTATTGAAAATACTCTAGAGCCTATGTTCATCAGGGGTAATGCAGAATTCTAAACGTGAAAGGATTTTTCAAATCGGTCCAGCAGTTTCGGAGCCTATTCAATACAAACAAACAATCAAATCTTTCCTCTTTATAATATTATATTAAAAAAAAAAAGTTTACAATTATGTTCCAATCCTCTGATAAAAAATGCTTGTTCAGCAGCTAATTACTTACCTGATGGCATTGTATAATTTACTGAACCAAAATCTTGAAAAGTCCCATTTTCACCAGGCCATGAAAAATTGTATTCACCTATTTCCAAAAATTCGGATTTTGCACTAGATAGAGCTCTGTGCGACATTAAGGTAACTCGTTTTTAACTTAGGCAATAACAAGAACTTTTTAGCTTTATAGCAATTCAACAAAATCTATTTGTTTTGACAGGCAAGAGGAAGACACGTTTTTCCGTAGCATTAGCCCTTCGCGCCAAATCAATAGACCCGCTTTCCACGTAATGGTAACTACTAGCAGCGCCATCTTTTTATCCATATACAAATTATATTGTTACTCTATGGTATCTCACATAAGTCAATGCATGAACTTATTTTATAATCCGGATCCTAACAAGGCTCTTACCGGGACAAGCGGAAAATAAAGACGGGAGCATATTATCCCATTGTTAGGATAGCTATAACTTTTTTTTATCAAGGTTATATTATAGTTTTGGTGTCGTCACTTTTGAAAGTCGTGGAGCTGGAATAACTCAACTGTTCCATCCATCCATACATAGGCAATCATACTAGCATAATAAAAATGATTGTCTTTTACATTAGATTATTAAAGCTTAAAATAAGAAAAAATTAGGCTGTAGGGATTTACTTTGCTTTGTTTTCATTAACAGTAGATAATTTTATTAAAATTACAAAAACTTTGACAATTGTACTTTTGACACTTATTGCTTGTTAATATGTCTATCATTTCATTCATTCTCTTGTAAAGGTTGTGTGATGTGATTAGTGCGGTTCCACCAAAAAAATTCGCACAAATCAATTGCGATGAGGTAGCATTGGTACAAAACAATAAAATATAACATCTAAGTAATATGCCTTAAGATATTTGTGTTACAAAGGGTAAAAAAATCTTTACGGGAATGCCGAACATGAATAATGTCATCGTCGCCTGTGGTAAGCATATTATTGCTCTTGAGTTGAACTAATAATGACTCATTTTTATTAAGATTTCTTTAAAAATAATTTAAGTAAAACGAAATATATTTCGCCTTTGAAATTAATAAATTCACGTCATGAACTCCATGGAAATTATAATTTCGAATAACCTTCTGTATGACGAATAATGATTTTCAATATATATCTTTACTTTATTCAATTATTACATTACTATTGCCGTATAAATAGAGGACATGGTAATGATTTTTGCGTTGCATCTGCTCTAATTGAAAGTCTGTTTTATTTAATTGTATATTAGATTAAAACGAAAGGGGAAGATACGGCACTCGCGGCTCAAAAGTGATCTGCTTAAATTGTGGTGCATGACCACAATTCACTTTAGTCACAATTGGACATTTAAACCCGCTGCATGTGCACTCAATATAATAATATTGCATATATTCTGTGTTGTATTGGTTAAACAATGCCTTCGATGCTTATATAATGAACACAACTAATTGAAAATCAAATAACAAATGGTTCGCTAACAGTTTTCATTTGTAAAACTAAAAACATATTTTTCTCAACAACTCGTCATGGTTTGTATTAAATGTTATATACGTAATCGCCATTTTGTTATCAAGAACAGGACAATAATACAGCATGGCCAGACGTGGTCTCTCTGTTTTGCTCGCGCTGTGTTGAAGAGTACAGTTCTGTCTTGCTTGCTATATTGAATGTTTATTTACATACATGTGCGTGTGTGCTCCCACACTGTGTTGCTTATGCAATTGAGTCTGAGCATATTTTATTTTATGCATGCAGCGAATCATATGTTCCCTTTTTATTTTAATCTAAAAATTGTATACATACAGCAATAACATTTTGCTTCTCAAATATCAAAGAAATTTTAGGCTTAAATCATCAATCATGTTGTGCAATCATTCCCTGAGTGGTTTCATACAACTCAATTGACAATCAAATTGATTAAAAGCCCTTGAATCAACTATGCTACTGTTATTGTCTTCATGACTTGTTATACCTCCTTTGTTTTGTCAGATAGCTTCATAATAAATACACAAAGTTATGAATATAATATGATCATATTTACTTACTGGGAGAAAATTATTTCACATTTCTTCATGCTGTCCTTCATTCATTGTATTATTTGTGTTTTATAATCTGCTTTACCGGGGATGCCGTTGAAATAATTATAAACACATTTAATGTTTTAAAACTTTCTATTATTGTTGTTAATTACATACATATTTAGATGCAAAAAATATTATGTGTTTATTATTATTTGTGGTGATTGCATTTGTGTTTGTCAGTTTATTGTTATTGTATGCACTGCCTGATATAACAATTTCACCAAATAAAAATTCCACATAAAAACACTAACACTATAAGCACTGTTTGGTCACCTTTATTATTGATGCACCCTTGTGCAAATGTTGTATTGCACCCGCATTCATTAAAATAGGGAACTATAAGCTAAATTATTTTGCTACACATCTTACAAAGGAAATCATGTTAAAAGATACAAAATTAATTTATAAAATATTAACCTTACAAACACATTCCTGCTGCTAATTTTCAGTAGATAATAAAAGAAAAATAATGGGAAGGGGAGTTTCAGACATTATTGTATTGAATGGGCCTTGAATGGGTAACCTTCAATATTTTAAATGTTATACTAGTTTAGGATACTTTTATTTCTGTGAGACATGTAAATTGTATAATCAAACAATAATCAGCCACCATAGCCCATATAATATATATATTTAGCTTCATCTTGAACCTACAGCACTCAATTAAATACTAGGTTATTATTTTGTACCTGCTTAAATAACCTTTTATGAAATCCCTTAAATGTTTTGGTGGAACATCTAAAGATATTAAAAAAACCTTACATAAGTTTCAATACAATATCTGACTAAAACCCTGAATTTTAAATTATAAAACCATACAAAGCAAAACAATTTATAGTTGATAAATTTTACTTTGTAGAAGATTTATATAATTAAAGCAAAATATTATCATATGATTACGATTGTTTGGAAGTTTAAGACAAGTCTAATTAACTTGCCAATGTAAATCAAAAATATATTTTAATATAAATACATATAATTTTTCAAAATCAATTTCTTAAATATATTTTTCCCCACAAACCTGAGCTGGGCCCATGTGGTGATTCAAGCCCCAATCTCCCTTTTCAATTCATAAGGAAGGCCTATGCCATATGGCCCCAGCAGCAAATGTATATTAATAGGCCTATATTTACACAATATGGACAACCAGCTTTATCTAAATAATGGAACAACATAATCTACTAAATAAACCTTTGACTTTTAATGTTTGTAACTTTAAGGAAAACTCTACACACTTAATTTATATTCTTGAGACAAAATCTATTGGCTTTTCCATTACAAACATACACTCAATTACAATTTCCTCAAACATAATTTTAAAAATATCCCTGTAGGTAAAGAGAATCTTTTAATATCAACTGAGATCTCTTTTATGATAAAAGCAAAGGAAATAAATTTTTACCTTTTTTTTAAATAGTCAACACTTCTTTATAGCTTGTTTAATACTTGTAAAGTTAAGTATCTCACTTGAGATTTTAATAATTAAATATGTTAAGTAATAAGGCAGCATAAAAAATACATATGAAAATTCAATAAGTCTATTAGGATAAGTTATACCTATAGCTCAACTTGTAAAACATTCACCAAGATAACAAAAGATACTACTTCGAATCTAGTGAAATCATACCAATCTAGGAATTTAATAAAAATGTAGTAAAAGCAGTATTTTTGTTTAGATAAGTTCATAATGAGGTTTATGAGTTTATTAATAACCCATACTAGTAACTAATAATTAATTATGAGGAATGTTATCAGTACCCAATATTTAGTAGTACAAACACAATGTTACCACCACAACCAGCGGTGATCCCCGGAAATGTATATGAACCGTGTGCTAAATGTTTCAGATGAATATGAAGTTATTGGCGAAGGTCAGTGGCAAACTCTTGAGAATAGTGGCGATGAACAAGTCATCAAAATATATGGTTTCAAATATTCAAAAGTACGGGCCATTTTATTTCATAGCACTTGCATATTACTATGTGGGCTACCTTATTTTGCTTTGGCCTATTATCCGTCTTACAACAGATTCAAATATCTAAAATGCAGTTTGAAAACGGCTGAACATGTTTGTGGTAAGCAAGGATTTTTTAATTCCTTAGAAGAATTAGACAAAAACAAATTGAGAATCTCAATGATATATTCACTCTACAATAATGGAAGTTAAGCAATTCAACGGTCAAAGTAAGGGTTACCAATAAATCCAGATCTGAAAATCTGTAAAATCAATAAAAAGTAAAAATATTCTTGTCTGCTGTCTGGACTGTGTAGATTTTTTTATAGTAAAAACATTTTCTTTAGCAGTTAACTGCTAGATGTATAAATCTAAATATTTCATTTTTTTTATATATAAAATATTTTTGTGTGTAATTAATTTATATATTTCATATACTTACTTTTTGTACCCTGATATGATTAAACAAAGACTAATTTATCTTTTATTTGCAGTGACGGATGCAGATGGTTTATTCAAAATCGAAAAAGTGAAAGATATTGACCTTAATCTCTCTAACCACCGGGATAACACGTTACGTTATTTCATTTACCAACACACGCGTTTTATCTGGTTGCATGATCAAGGAGTCTTTACTAATGTTCTGGCACTCAATGAAAAGCTAACAATCAATTTGTTGATGGAAAACGTGTCTGGTATAAACAAGCGACAGCAGAATGAATTGTAAGTACATGATTTCCTTATTTTTAAATGCTTCATAATTGTAGCAGTAGGGCATAGCAAAAAGCCTGTCTATTAAAGTAACCTCTTTACCTTACAAAAGAAAAGTGAAATAAGACACTTTTATTGGTGGATGTGGGAATGGGTTATGGCTAATGTAACTATGAAACTTAACTATTTAACTTAAATCTTTCGTTCCAGAATCAAGTTATATGGAAGCAATTCTGTAGAGGTAGAAGTGAAAAGCTATTGGACTTTGTTTGTGGATGAAGTTTTCAATCCTTTCTATTTATTTCAAGTTTTCTCCATTATATTATGGTCATTAGACGAATATTACCAATATGCGTCCTGTGTTTTCATATTATCTACACTGTCTTGTATGCTGGCTTTATATCAAACAAAACAGGTATGTACACTACCTATAGCACAACATTATATTTTTGTGTAAAAACGATCTTGATAATAAAAAAAAATCACTTACAAATATTAAAATATTGTCTTTTCATGTCTCTGTCTGAAAGTTCTAACTACCGTTAATATTTTTAGAGCATTCTACACCTACCTTTCTTAATAAATATATATCAGGTATAATACATGCAAACGAATTTACTAGCTCTATTTATAGCATCATCCAATAAGTACTTAAATTTATTTCGCTGTATCCCAGTGATACATATCATGGATATTGATATTTTTTTTTTGCATTCATGATGTGAATTTATCGAATATATATATTATGTATCGAAAATATATTATTTTTCTATATTATTCCTAAATAGATGAGTATAAATTTGCACAAAATGGCGGGTTCCACTAGTGCGTTCACGGTGACAGTACTGCGTCCGTCGCGCACAGGCCGCGAAGAATGCGTCGTGAACGCTAGCCGGCTTGTACCTGGCGATGTACTTGTTTTACCACCCGATGGATGCGTTATGCCTTGCGATGCGATGCTACTCACCGGCACTTGCATTGTGAACGAGAGTATGCTTACAGGTGAGTTATATTTAAATTCCATTTAGGTCAGCAGACTTCTGTCTAGTGTAGTGCTCCTTCTACCGCCTGATGGATGCGTTATACCTTGGAATACGGTGAAGGAGAGTATACTCATGGGTGAGTTATGTTTAAATGCCATTTAGGTCAACGGAATTCTGCCCAGAGTAGTGCCCGTTCTACTACTTGATGACTGCATTATGCTTTGCGATTTGATGCTACTCACTGCTACTTTTATTGTGAACGAGAGTATGCTTACAGGTGAGTTATGTATTAATGCCATTTAGGTCAGTGGACTTGTGCCCAGTATAGTGCTCGTGCCCAGTATACCCCTCGATGGATGCGTTATGCCTTTCAATGCGAGGCTACCCACTGACAGATGCGTTGTGAACGAGAGTTTGCTCACAAGTGAGTTATGTTTAAATGCCATTTAGGTCAGCGGAATTGTATCGACTGTAGTTGTCGTTCTACCGCCTCATGGTTGTGTTATGCCTTGCGATGCGATGGTACTCACTGGCATTAGCACTGTGAACGAGAGTATGCTCACGGGTGAGTTATGTATAAATGCCATTTAGGTCAGCGGACTTGTGTCCAGTGTAGTGCTCGTTCTACCGCCTGATGGTTGTATTATGCCTTGCGATGCGATGGTACTCACTGGCACTAGCACTGTGAACGAGAGTATGCTCACGGGTGAGTTATATTTAAATGCCATATAGGTCAGCGGACTTGTGTCCAGTGTAGTGCTCGTTCTACCGCCCGTTGAATGCGTCATGCCTTGCGATGCGATACTACTCCCATGTACTTGTATTGTCAGCGGGATTACCGCCCAATTGATGGAATTATGCGTTGCGATGCGATCCTACTCATGGGTGAGTATTGTTCCCATGCCATTAAGACAGCCGACTTGCACCTGGTTCGGCTGCGTCTTACCGTGCGGGTAGGGACACGAAAAAAGTATCGATACTTTGTGGTATCGAGTATTTTCCTTTCGATACCGATACTTTTGTACTCGATACTTTGTATTCGATACTTTTACTAAATGAGTACTTTTTGGCAAGTATCGATACCTTTAAAAATTTGGATAAGCGCCTCATATTGATGGCAACGCCACCATCTTGTTAAATCATAGCAAACCTTCTAAAACGTTCCATAGGGTATTTGACAAGTTTTAGGCAACGATCTCACGTTATTGACTAATGTTTATGGAGTCCGTAAAAAGTGGATATTCATCATTCTGTCGTGTATTTCAGTAAAAATACCCAAATCAAAAACTCCTTTTTTAAGTTGCCTCGAAAACGTTTCTCTGGACAATATGGCGTCTTACTAGTGTGTGACGTCACACAACTGTTATTAAAACGTCAAACGATACAATGTAATGTCACTTTGACCGGAAGTTTACTTGCGTGTGACGTCATTTTAGGCTCCGCCAATCCCAAGCGTTTTGGGTTACGTGACAATAGATAAGAAAACTAATATCTTTTTCATTATTTTGGCACTTTATTTTAATACTGTCAAATGCCCTATTGCGTTAAACATAACTAGTTTTTACGGGTTAATGCACGAAACTATTTATTTATTTGACGTTTCGTAGCCGTTACAGGCTACGTCGTCAGAATTAAACTTTTATTTAATTTGTCGAGCTACCTTCGTAAGACTTTTATTGAGCGTTCGGTTATTTCACTGTTCGATTTTTAAAGTTTTATTGTCTATGTATTAAAAATCGAACAGTGAAATAACCGAACGCTCAATAAAAGTCTTTCGAAGGTAGCTCGACAAATTAAATAAAAGTTTAATTCTGACGACGTAGCCTGTAAAGGCTACGAAACGTCAATAAATAAATAAAGTTTCGTGCATTAACCCGTAAAAACTAGTTTTATTTAATGAGTGATGTGCGTGAAAATCTAAGAAACAAATATGCCCTATTGCGTTGTTATAAAGTCAGTAACTGACATATTCATATTCTTTCCAATCTATGACTGTGTTTATTTTGCGCTTTGTTTTGTTTCATAGTTATTTATTTAGCGACCATATTCTTAGGAACTGTGATTGATTCGCCGTTTATTGTGCTTTTCGCTTGACTGTATTTGATTTATTCAAGTGTAACACTATTATTCTGTCTGTGCTGTGTATACCTATTTGAAACCACCTGAAAAAAAGATGGACGTAAGTTCTTCCATAATTATAATCTTCAGTGAAGCATGCCAATGGCAGCCGTTAACTACGTGTCAGATTCAAGTTAACATAAGTGGGTATAATGTTTTTTAATGATTAAAATTCAAGAATCAAATCTGAAACAAATCTGAAAAGTTTCATACTTTTAAATTGTTTAAGATTTCGATCTTTTGAATTAACATTTTAATTATGAATGTAATATTAATGAACACTTTTTAGTGTCAGAAATCACAGCTATTTTCTTTTCATTATATTATATAGCAATTTGTGAATTTACATGTCCTTTTCATTGTTTTTCTTTCAATTTTAACACGGGGGGGGGGGGGGGAGGTTGCTCATCAGGCTCCGATAAGGCCCTATGAAATGTACTCGATACTTTGAAGTATCGATACTTTTGTTTCGATATCGTGTCCCTGCGTGCGGGGCGATGTTGTTCACCGGTCCATGCATTCTAAACCCAGCGAAGAGCTTGTTCTATCTACCAAAAGTATGAAATATATTATTCCAATGCTTGCTGCCGAATACAACTGCAGGTTGCACTAACTTGCTGCGTCTGTGTACAATCTGCAGCGTGCTTCGGGATAGTGCCTTATTTGTTTTTAAAACTTCTACATACTTTTTAATCAGTACAATATAACTCTATTATTTTGTATCAATTATAATTTTTCACTTTTAGGTGAAAGCGTACCTGTTATGAAAGGACCGCCATGCCCTTCTGCAGAAGTATATTCAACAGACGGCCATAAAAGGCATACACTTTTTGCTGGTACCCACGTTATACAAACCAGATTCTATGGCAATAATCAAGTATGAAAAATCTATATTTCTCTATTTTAACTACCTCTATAAGATGTTGAGATAACAATAATATGTGTTTTTTTTTACTTTTTAAGGTTCTAGCTAAAGTGGTGCGCACCGGTTTTTATACAGCCAAAGGAGAACTGATAAAAAGCATACTTTTTCCAAAGCAACTTGGTTTCCAGTTCTACAACGACGCTGTCAAGTTTGTCATGTTCATGTTCTGCATTGCCGCAATTGGCATGGCGTATTCGATCTGGTTATACGTTCTGAGAGGGGTAACTGTTTTTAACTATCACTTTCTATCTTTAAGTTCTTACAAGCTTAAAGTTTCTCCATATTTGATTGTGAGTTTAAGATACCATTATAGATATTTTTATAATAGTTTTAATAATTTCATAACAATTATTTATACATATATTTTTTTATTTGAGATGTATAGACTCTTCTAATAAAATAAAATTCATTGTGTGGCAGTTAGTTTAACGAGACTAAATGCATTCTTAACACCGCAGGTACCTCAGCTGTAGCCTGTTTGGGCTCATTAGAAGGGTCTCAATGAATAAATGACGTTCGGAACGTTGTTTGTAGTGTGTCTACTAATTATTAAAAATTAGGAGACATTTATTAAAAAAAGATTAAATCAAATTGGATTTTTTTAAAGATAAACCCGTAACCCAATAACAAAATCCAAAAAGTGAAAAAATAACCTGTGTGCGGGAGGATTTTAATGTGAAACTTATTATATCGCCACCCATTTTTCGTTCATCTTTAGCAAGTCGCATTACAATTTTAATTCGTATTAAAAAAACAGACCTTGTCCACAAGCATCGGTAGTTCAGTGGTCGAAAGATATCCTAACCCCGCGGGTGGCCCCGTTCTATTCCCAGGCGAGAAAAAACTTTTTAATTATTTGTTACTTTTTATAAGCCAGAGTAACATCAACTAACTATAGGTAAACCGCTTAACTGAGTGCGCCTGCGGGGTACAGGTTGTCGGGGAGGACGAGAACGGGGACCGTGACACATTTCTAACTCCCCCACACCCTTTACCCCGCAGGCGAGGACTCAGTTTAGCGGTCTACCTATAAGTAGGTAACTTCAAAACTTTCACTTACATCGTGGTTTTATAAAAACACACCAATTTTTAGGGTTCCGTAGCTCAAAAGGAAAAAACGGAACCCTTATAGGATCACTTTGTTGTCCATCCGTCCGTCTGTCTGTCTGTCAAGACCGTTTTTCTCAGGAACGCGTGGAGTTATCAAACTGAAATTCATATCTAATAATACTCATGTCTACTGTCCCTTGGAGCTGAGAAAAAATCAAACTTCTCAACCAAAGCAATCAAAAGATACAGCCGTTTATGCCGCAAATTTTCGAAACTGGCACGGGAATCAAAACCTACAGGGTACTTCCCGTGAACTTAGAATCTTGAAGTTTGGTACGAAGTAACGTCTTATAGTACAGATAAAGGAAAAATTGCGAAAGCTATAAAGTTTTAGTAACATCATATAATAAAAAATAGTTTTGAAATTTTAAAGTTACTACCTCTTTTCTCATGAACGCGTAGAGGTATTAAATTGAGTTTGTACGGAACCCTCGCTGCGCGAGTCCGACTCGCCCTTGGCCGGTTTTTAAATAAGCACAGTAAAGCCGTGTTTTCCTCGTCTATAACTTGTACAAATCAAATGCTTGAAAGTAATGCACAAATGAATGAACTTTCGAGATTTTATTTGGAATATTACTACAGTAGAACCCGATTAATACGAACACGCTTAATATGATTTCTCGCATAATACTCCATTTTGCGTCAGTCCTTGCAACTTGAGACATCTAAAGAAAAGTTTACTAGAAAAAAATCCACGCGGACCAGGCAGCGGACGGGACTCGAACCCGCACCCTTCTCAATCCGGGCGAATGCACTGACCATTATGCTACCACGGCCCTATTCGCCACGTCGAAATTTTCCTAACCTTAAGCTGCAAGGCAGCGGGTTCGAGTCCCGTCCGCTGCCTGGTCCGCGTGGATTTTTTTCTAGTAAACTTCTCTTTAGATTTAAACAGCTAGCAGTTAAATGCTTAAAAATAAATAAAAACATAACTTGAGACATGTTTTCATTGAATACATTTCTTAACGCTTAATACGATTCATCATCCCGTTTAATACACCTAAATCTCCACACATATTACCTCTTGCGGCAGCATAAAATTCAATGAGAATGTGAATAACACACAAGATGAGGCCCTAAGTGATAGTGATCAAGAAGAAGATGAGTCAACTCCGATTTTGTCACACGCCCAGGCATTATCAGCAGTTAATGATTTAAGATACTATATAACTTCTTTGAATCAAAGCGAAGACGCACTGCAAAACTTTTGCATAATAATGCAAAACTTAATTAATAAATAATGTTGAAAATCTTGTAATTGCTAATTCCTCAAATTTTTTTTGACAAACTATAATAAGTGATTAATTTAAATAACGTAATAATAAATAATAATACTGTACATTTAATACTTCAATACCTACATTTGAAATTGCCCTATCCCGCAATCCCGCAAAATACGCTTTCCCGCTTAAGACACGTTTTTGGTTGAGTCCCTATGAAATCGTCTTAAACCGGTTTTACTGTATTTATTTAATAAGTTTTCTCCTGTGTTAATTATAGTATTGTCTTTTCAGAGTCCGATCGGTACAATAGTGCTACGGACACTAGACATTATAACTATAGTAGTTCCCCCGGCGCTGCCCGCAGCGATGACAGCGGGCATAGTATATAGTCAACAGCGTTTACGCAAGAACAAGATATTTTGCGTGTCCCCACCGAGGATTATTATCTGTGGAAAACTGCAAGTTATGTGCTTCGACAAGGTAAAGTAGAAAGGTTCTTAGGCACGGCCGGATTTAGGGGAGGGCAACCGGGGCGAAAGCCCCGGGGCCTCCACAAACGGGGGGCCCCCACAATAGAGACTTCGGAAAAAAAATCTTTCAAATTCCAACTAGTAAACACTAGTAAACATCTTTTCCTTTGATATTTTATTTTGCTCTTTTACATTTACTCCAAGAACTCGATTTCAACGAAATCATCAACGATTTTTCGGCGAAAAAAGCTCTAAAGGTTCGTTAACTCTAAGATTTAATTTCAGATAATTTTTCTTTCCGTTTATATTTATATGTGTTTGTTCTAAGTTCTAAGGGAATCTACTTTGTTCACAATAAATTATTTATTGAAAAACTCGACTCGAAAAAAAATTGTTTACTTTATTTAGAAAATAATTTGGGGTGAGGGGGCCTCCGCTCCTCTGTTGCCCCGAGGCCTCTGGACCTCTAAATCCGGCCCTGTTCTTAAGATACTCAAATAGTTGTTTGAAAATAATCATAACAGCAATCAGTGGTACAAACACAGATATTGATAAAACGCATTAACTACATAAAATCTAAAATAAAATTAAAAAATGCTGTAATATTATTAGTTATAACTTCATAATTTTTAATAGCAATGTAAAGATAACTATGTTACTTTTTAGACTGGAACACTGACAGAAGACGGCTTAGATTTCTATTCAGTGATACCGGCGCAAACGGATGAAAAGTTTGGCAAATGTGTAATCGATGTCAACAGCTTACCCGCTAAAAGCCCTCTTGTTCAAGCCCTGGCTTCATGTCATTCTCTCACTAGCATTCAGGGACAGCTAAAGGGAGATCCCCTTGACCTTAAAATGTTCGAGTTCACTCAATGGGTAAATATGTATTTGTTTTTAATTACACAACATTACAGAACCGCAAATTCTGTATCCATAAAAATCTTTCCATTAATTTAGGCCTGTATTAATAGATCGTTCTCAACTCAACATTTCTCAAGATCGTAATCTTAAAGTTGAGCGCGATCTGAATATATTTTTGTCAAGTCTCATGTAATTATAACATTGAAAACAACATTAAAGATATATCAAATATTCTAAAATAATACTGTATGTAAATCCCTTTTTTATATGTAACATCTTTCCTCTCGCTTTCCTGCAATTTGTGAAATGGGTCGGAAGTGTGTAACAGGAAGTCGCGAAAGCGCGTGCTATTTGAAATATAATGTTCAAATGGCGTATTCCTTTTGTAGGAGGTTTTATTTCTAACTAAATCCTATTGTATGTTTTCCACAAACAATGATGCACTATTCTTTGAAAAAGAATTTCTCATCTATTAGTCATGTCGTAAATATAAATATCACTATCTGGTTGAAGTGTAGGTTTGGCTAAGAAATTAGGTACAATTTTAACAAAACTTCCTATAAACAGGAAGTTTTAAATATCAGTAATGGGCAGTTTTTTAAAAACTGAGAACACGTGGTTTTCGGCGTGTTTACAGTACACTTTTGTGTAAGAAAATTTTAATTTGTCTTTGATAACTGAGAATATTAATACAAATAAAAAAATCAACACAAAATTTTCCTATTTATTTTATTGTGTGCAAATGAAATTCAAATCACTCTTTTGATCCACCATTCATCCCAGTGTTTCTTGAACTGCAAAAATGTGGACTTAATTAGAATTATTTTTACAATAGACACATCATCATTTTAGGTGCTCGAAGAACCAGGCCCAGAGAACACAAGATATGATAACCTAACACCTGCTATTGTGAAGCCAGCCTCCACACCGGATGCAGATTTACAGAACCTGGAAAACTATGACCCTTACACTATGGAAATTCCATATGAGGTAAATATGTATATAATATAACAAGGTGCAAATAATCGTTGAAAGTTTATTGAAATCAATAATAATCTTATCTCCCATGAAAGAAAAAATGAAAATTCATGGAAGAATTTTTGGAAATAAAAGTGTATTATCAATTACTGGTCCGGCCTTGCTTCTCTTCAGTATAGAGCTGTTGTAGGAAGACTTATAGTTTTTATTCCCAGGCTCGTATTATATATATATAGAATTTTTATATATAATTATATACCTTCCATGATAATTTATTTAACTGATAGTAAAAAAATTGATGCATATTGAAGGACCCGCTATACTGATTTGAAAAAATCTTTTTGTGTTAGTAGTAGTATTGAGGAAGGCTTAAGGCTATATAACATCACGCTGCGATCAGTAGGAATGGATTATCGATGTAAAATGTTGCAAAAACGGGTAAAAATATACCATTTTTTTACCATTACCATTTCAATATAACCTTTTTCCTCAAATTAACGCGGCTGAAGCTGCAACTGTTAGACATATGGTATCGTGGACTTTTTTATAGATATTGATGCCCTCTATTAAACTTTAGTAGATACATCACTTTCCTCTACTGTCAATGACTTCCGCAGCGTAAGCGATATAAGGTTATTTTTTGGTATTTTTTTCACACCCTGGGTTACGTTCAGGGATATTATAGGATTCTAAACGTGAAAGATTTTTCAAATCGGCCCAGTAGTTTCGGAGCCTATTCAATACAAACAAAAACAATCAAATCTTTCCTCTTTATAATATTATTATTATTATAGTTGGAATTGAGGTTAAACAACATAAAAAAACTTCCAGCCGCCTAGGGCTAAGAGTGATAGTTTGTCTTACTATCTACCCATGATATTAATCCTCTATAAAAGATAAAAAAATTGTGACTGTCTGATGAGTAAGCCCTTGGCGCGCACGGGAATTAAAAAGCAAAGAAGTGTTATTATGTAATTTAGTACAACATTATAACATCCGTTTAGGTGTTATAATGTTATTTTTATTATGACTAGATGTTTTATATTATTTATTATTTATGTTTAACGTTGGCAATAAGCTAACTGTTTCGGCTTCGGTTTAATCTCTAATATAGAGGTTTTAAAGCATGTGTGTAGAAAAAACTTTAAGGTTAACTGTTAACCTCATAAGCCAGAAAATTAAATTGATTATGAACAAAAGCATTGTTGTTTGAGTTGTTAATATTTTTCTGTTTAGATTGGCTTGTTGCGACGGTTCCACTTTTCGTCATCGCAGCAATCAATGGGAGTGATCGCCAGAGTACTCGGTCAACCGCAGATGATTTACTTCGTCAAAGGCGCGCCGGAAAAGGTAAATAAGGAAAAACATAGTTCCGTTCATGTAAATTTCTAAGTAACACGTAAACAAACGAAAATTTGCCGAGCCTCAAAGACGAAAACCAGTTTGTATATGCAAATAAGACAACCATTTATGACTCACTAACTTTATTATTTTTTTATCTACGGCATTTTCGCACTTACATACTTTACCGTATAGTAAATATTAATCATTTACTAATATTGTGTAGATAAAACGCTGTAAGTAATTAAAATATAAATTATTTTTTTATAAAATATTAAAATAAGATTTAAATAACTAGACTTTACTTTTTTATTGATAAAATTATTTATTTGTCTTATACTTTTTTTTTTTTTTTTTTTTTTTATAGTTAGGTCCGACAAATGACTCCACCCCACCTGATGTTAAGTGAAGGTGAAGTCCAGACGCGAAGATAGCTGATACAGCAGTTCTACCTGCCACACCAGCCATCCTCACCCTGCCGGCCTGCATGTTGCTTCTTCACGCCTCTTTTAAAGGATCCCAGGTTGTAAGAGGGAGGGAACACGTGAGCGGGCAGAGCACTCCATTTACGGATAGTGCGACAAAGAAATGAGTCACCAAATTTCTTTGTACGCGTTGGAATTGTGGCCACAGTAAAACGGTGACAACGTAGGCCAGCGCGCGTGGTCCTCTGAAGGAAAGGGGAAGGTGGGATAAGAGAGAATAACTCCTCAGAACACTCGCCGTGGTACAAACGATAGAACGCGCTTAGTGACGCCACGTCACGGCGTAATTGAAGAGGCTCAAGGTGTTTAGTCACCTCCTCATCGCCTATGATGCGGATCGCGCGCCGCTGTAACCTATCCAAAGCATCGAGCAAGTACTTGGCGGAGCCATCCCAGAGGTGCGAGCAATATTCCACGCAGGACCGCACTTGCGTTTTGTACAACAAGCACAGTTGATCGGGCGTGAAAAAACGCCGCACCTTGTTCAGGACTCCGAGTTTGCGTGAAGCTGTTTTGATCACGGTTTCGATGTAGTCCTTTGGATTCAGGTCTGAGCGAACTTCCATACCGAGCATGGAAATGTTGCTCTGCAGCGGTAGTGTTGTGCCCTGAAGAGATGGAAGGGGAAGGAATGGCGATGTTTTTGCCGTGAAAGCGCAAGCCTGAGTTTTCTTGGCATTGAACCCAACCAAGTTCCTGGTACCCCATTCGGAAATGTGGTCCAAAGCCTGATTGAGCTCAATGACAAGATTTTCCCGTTTCTCCCTGGTTACTGCCGGCCCAGCCGCTGCTTGTCCGAGATAACCCGCATGCACTGTACTATCGTCTGCATAGCAATGAATATTCCCAAGAGGAATCAGGTCATTGATATGCAGCAGAAAGAGAGTGGGGGATAGGACGGAGCCCTGGGGAACGCCGGCATTCACTGACATGAACCGCGAACTGCTACCATCCGTAAGGACACGAATTCTACGCTCATGCAGGAAGTCAGCTACCCAAGAACAGAACTGGGCTGGCAGACCGTATGCCGGAAGCTTGGAGAGAAGGCTTTTGTGCCAGACCCTGTCAAACGCCTTGGCAATGTCAAGGCTGATAGCCAACGACTCGCCACGCTTGTCGATAGCCTCACCCCAGATATGAGTTAAGTACGCTAGAAGATCACCCGTCGATCGTTTCGGTCTAAATCCATATTGACGATCATTAATCAGGGAGTGATCCTCTAGGTAGCGGGTCAGATGGTTATTAAGGACCTTTTCTAGAACTTTACATAAAACTGAGGTGACTGCTATTGGCCGATAGTTTGCCGGGTCTGAGCGATCCCCTTTTTTGGGCACCGGTTGCACGTTAGCATCTCTCCAAGTCTCCGGCACACGCCCCAAAGAATACGAGCATTGGTACAAGCGCGTGAGCACGGGAGACAACTCCGCTGCACATTTTTTAAGTACTACTGCTGGGATGCCATCAGGTCCACTAGCTTTCCGGACGTCGAGTGATTGCAACTCGGCACGAACCTCACGCTGCCTGATTTTAATATCAGGCATCGTTGTGCCACAGTGAGGTAATGATGGTGGCAGTGCATTGCAATCATCGATTCGGGAGTTAGCCGCAAAGAGTTTTGCCAGTAAATCGGCTTTCTCCTGCGGCTTATGAGCTAGTGTTCCGTCTGGGCATCTCAGAGGTGGCAGCGAGGGCTGGCAGAAGTTTTTTTGCACGGCCTTGGCCAAACGCCAGTAGCTACGGGAGCCCGCAGAATGCGTTATAAGTTCCTGACCAACACGTGCAACACGCTGGGCATCCGCTCTGATGTAAGCCTTCTTACAGGCCTTGGAAGCAGAATTGCATAATTGAGCATAACAAACATATAAAATTTTAGCAAGACATAATACAAATAGTTCAAAATATAAAAGTTACTTTCAAATGGTATTTAAACAATGCTTTCCATCAACACAATGTTAGCATAGAGCAATTCTCTTGACAAGAGAATTCCAAGTGAACGTTTAAAATGTTAAAATTCAAACACCGCTTAAGGTTGCAGGTATGTGCAAGACAGAATCTTTGCCAGACAACTTCGCTTCAGTACTTAATGAATACACTTCAAATGGATTCCGAGTAATAGGACTTGCACATAAGAAACTTGACCGTAAAATGAAATGGGTCGACGCACAAAGAATCAAACGGGACACACTTGAGTGCGACATGACATTTCTGGGCTTTCTAGTCATGCAAAATAGCCTGAAACCGGAGACCACTCAAGTGATAAGGGAACTCCACGAGGCGAACATTCGACAGATCATGGTTACTGGTCAGTATTCGATATAATTATTGGTTATAAGCAATACATACTATGCTTAAACAAACTTTATCAATAAATATAATCCTATCTTAATAATATAATTAACGAAAATTATCTCTTTTATTCCTTATATTACAAATGCACTATCAATTAGGTACTTCGTGAACTTAATAAAATTAATACGTTATTGCCATTAAATAGGGTATTTGACAAGTTTTAGAAAAAGATCTCACGTTATCTATACATATAATAAAATGGTAGGAAAGTCAAAACAGTACATTGAATATTTTTTTAAAAGAATACTTGGGGTGATCTACCCCAAGGATTGGGATCAATACCGAAGCCAAAAATTTAGTTTTTAAATTTTTTTCTTTTTGTCTGTATGTATGTCCGGGATAAACTCAAAAAGTACTTCATGGATTTACTTCGAGTTTGGCACGAATATTATTAAGAAGTCGGGTCAACATATAGGTTACATATTATTACGCTGTCACATACGGGGAACGAGCACTGAACCTTTGTTTCTAACTAACTCCACGCGTACGAAGTCGCGGGCGGCCACTAGTTTAATAATATTTATGGAGTCCATAAAATGTGGATATTCATTCTGTTGTGTATATCAGTAAAAAACGAAATAAAAAAATCCATTACCAAGTTGTCGCGAAAACGTCTCTAACTAAACTTATGTAGACGAAAGTTTATGCAGACGAAGCTGCGGACGGCCGCTAGTATTACATAAATAAATAGTGTCGATTCTGGCATGATTCTCTAAACATAAAGCTAAATTAAAATTGGACAGTGGCAATATTTAGCTGTAGTTTGGGTCAAGCGTTTGCAGCGCCATCTATGTCGAGCTTTGCGTATACTTCTCCATTAGCACCAATGCCATCTTAAATAACATTTTATCTTCGGTTTTAGGTGACAATATAATGACAGCTATGTCGGTAGCGAGAGGTTGCTTCATGGTGCAGCCACATCAGAAATTGGTGTTGATAACCGTGGGACATCAGCAAACTGATGACTCCCGACCACCCTTATCTATGGAGGTAATATATAAGCACTAATCTAGAATAATATGTATTATAAAGAGAAAAGATTTGTGTTTTTATATGTTTATAATGAAGAAACTCAAAAAGTGCTGGTACGAATTAAAAAATTCTTTCACTATTAGATTGCTACATTATCCCTGAGTAACTTAGTCTATATTTTATCGCATTTAAATAAAGTTCACCCGTGGAAAGCCAAGGCAGATCGCTAGTCTATATGTATAATAATGAATCCTTATTTCCATTAGTCACGAGTCACGAAATAACTTGAGAATCACCACCGATATCATCACATCTTTTTATTTTACTTTTACCAATACTTTGTAGGTTTTAACCTTAATAAAAATAATAAAATTGCGTAGTAATTAGAAAATTTTTGGAAAATATAATTGCAAACTCTACCTGAAAGCTGGCGCAAAAGTCGGGTGTTAGCATTATTTTTTAAATATTTCTATCGAGCAGGACAACGTTTGTTGGGTTCAGTAGTTAATTTATTAATTAATATTTCCTGAGTGGTTGACTGTAAAGGGGCCGAAACGTCAAGAATTCATACTGTATATCTGTCTGTTACCTCTTCAAGCTTAAACCGCTGAACCGATTTAGATTAAATTAAGCGCAGAAATAGTTTGAGCCCTGGGGAAGGACAAAGGGTAGTTTTTTTCCAGAAATCATCCCTTAAGTGAGTGGAATTTTGTGGGAAATCAATTTTGTCACGCAGACGAAGTCAAGGTCTACCTCTAGTAATCTAATATATAAAATTCTCGTGTCACGGTGTGCGTAATTGAACTACTGATACGATTTTCGTGCAATTTTATAAGCATATTCAATAGATCTGAAAATCGGACATCTATTTTTCATCCCCCTAAATGTTAAGGGTAACCTTAATTTTTTTTGGACCAAATTTTTTGTGTTTTTTTTTATGATACATCATACAAAAATACATACAACCCTAAATTTTCACCCTTCTACCACCAACCCCTTTTTTATGGCGGTACAAAGTTCGCTGGGATAGCAAGTGTTTATATAATAAAAACGCGCTTTAATAAAAAGTGTTCTATTTAATGTGATGTTAAACTTAATATTGTATCGTAGGTTGTTGGCGAAGGCTGCCCACCGAAAATGTCAATGGACTCTTGCGTCCTCGCGCTGGAAGGGAGGACTTGGACGGTCATAAGGAATCACTATCCTGAATTGCTGCCCATTGTGCTAAGCAAAGGTATTGTAACATAAGATCAAATATGATCACTGGATCATAAGAGTGATTATCTAAAGAGACGAATAAAATGGCAATGCTGGATATTCCCGAATTATTTCTGAATTGGCGCGAGTTTAGCTGAAGTCCTGTGGAGAACCACTTTAAATTTTAAAAAATAGTGATTAATTTTCATTTCGAGTGTGTAAAGTTGACTGTAAATTATATTGTATTGTTGACAATGGTGTCAAAGCTGGCATGATTCTCTAAACTTTAAACTAAATTTAACATCAATTACTCCTTTTCATTCTGTATAAATAATGATAAGGATACACTGTTGTCTATATTTTTAAGTTTTTTTATTCTTTTAACATACTTTATAAAAGTTATTTACGGATGACGGATGAGGAACTTAACTTACAACTATAACCGACAGGTGGCGCTGCAGTCGTGTTTCACGACTTCTTTTAGTTTACATGTCAGCATAACGTCTTTCTGTCCTATCAATAGTATTCTTATAAAAATAATTTAAATTTAAATGACATTAGCGAATTCTTTTTAAAATATTATTTCCCAACCTTATTTATCTATCCTTCCCATAATTATCTTAAGTTGACATGGTATTTTGACATTAATAATAAAATGACGTATTATATTATATTTTTTTTTACTATAGTTTTAATACATAGTAAATATAGTAGCATAGTAAGCATAGTAAAGGGATTGCTCAAATTGGCCCAAATGCACAATAAATATTGACATACACGGTAATTCTTGGCGTAATTTATAATTTAATTTACAGTCTTTAAATTTCAACGGACACCTTTGTATAATATATTTACTTTAAAAAGGACTTTTAATTTTACCGGTTTGGAAAACATACGATTCATTTTTAATGGCTATGGGTGTAGTAACATTCAGCCATAGACTGATCGAAGTTGTTTATATAACATAAAAACAAATCTATTTTGTAAAGATTGATAAAATAAATCATTTTATTTATTACACGGTGGTATTAATATCCATATCATTTTCACTAGATGCAAATGTGCTCAGACAATTATTATAGATGGTAGGCGACATCATAAAGTCTATTGCCATTCATTTTTCGCCAAAGACCTCCGTAAACACATTATAATCTGTATATATATTAGACTTTAAGGTCCTAAGGTATCTATGGGCCTACGTTCCCTGACTATAAATTAATAAATAAATAAAATTATAAGGTGTGATACACAAAAAATCTAAAATATGCTTATCTTAAAAACATAACAAAAATAATGAAGCTACTGAATATATGGCCTAAATCTCTTAGCTTTCTTTGGTTAACGAGAGTTTAAAAATTCTCTCTAATCTGTGGCTCATTCACAATCATCACACAGTTTCTGTCACAGAGTACCTTATTATAACCGGAAATGACACCTGTTTTTATAAGTTACTTTTATGCATTAACTTTAAAAACAGGCAACTGACTGTTAATCTCACGGAGGAAAAACAAAGAGGAGGTGTGGTGATTAAATTTCCTCAAGAACGACGCGTGATAATTTGCGGGATGCGGGGTGTTCAGCTCCGCCCACTTCTCAATATTTCATCTATCGGCTAATAGCAAAACTAGCTTAGGTTGATATTTATGTTACTACGTAGTAGTTCAGCTATCTAACACTAGATGTCAAAAGTTTTGTTTATAATGGGACGTACTCAGAACTTGAAGCTTCAAAAAAATTAAATATGTAGGTAAATAAATAAAATAAACGTTGACAAATTTGACCGATTTTAAAAATTTTAAGGTATAAATTTTATTATTATAAAACATGTAACTGCTTGATGAAAAAAAATCCAGGCAGACCAGGCAGCAGACGGGACTCGAACCCGCACCCGCTCCCGTCTGCTGCCTGGTCCGCGTGGATATTTTTCTAGTTATATTTTCTTTAGATTTAAATTTTAAGGTAGTTTAAAAATAATAGACAAAATGTTATTACAAACATAATTTTATTAAAAAACATCAATTACCTGTAAATAATAGTTTTGGTTAGTTGTTGTCGATTGGTTGCCCTATCGTTTTATATTGTGGTAAAATGCTTAAAACGAATATCAATATATTTTTCTGCAATCGATTTCATCAGAAATACAACATGATTAACTGTAGGTGATTGGTCAAACATATGGTTGGCCGATTTTTTGAAACAATCTTGTCCAATAACAAATGTCTTCGGTCCGTATACATATTTTTATGACATCTCTAGATGGGAAAGTAAGACCACCCTTATTTTTAGATTTTATCAAATCAAGGTCACTATCGTCGTAGTTATCAGCATATAATTCTTTGAGACAGATCTCACATTTGATCTTGGAATGTAAATATTTGACCACATACCCAGAAATATATGCTACTATTTGACGGCGCAAATAGTCACCTATTCGCTATGTGCACGACAGTAGCGCCACCTACAATGCGCAACTTTCCGGGATTATGCCAAATAATAACATCAGTTTGTATTTTATTGATTTCTAGTAAATATAGTAAGGTAAAGATAAATAAAAATTATTATATATTGTATAATAATTTAAATAATGTCGGATTTCAATTCGGAATTCAGTACAGTCAATAATAACTCTTGTATTGATGTAATCTGGACTGAAACACTTGGGCATTGGTGCTTGTACGGTGGCTCTATTCGGCCAAAAGATTAAATTAGCAGTTGAACAAGCTAGATTTTGTAAGATCGAATGAAATATACGTGAGATTGTGGTTTTTTTGTACACCAAATAACACACTCAATGCTGAAAATGTCAAGCCAGTTTTCATTTTTATCAAAAAAATCAGAAGTCGGTCTTTAGTGGAAACTGTACATTTTCTCATAGTTAATCTTGTTAATAAAAACTCAAAATTGCTAAATGACACACCAGAAGGATCTAGGAGTTCTTGATCATTTGTTATTGATGAAATACCAACAAATTCTTGACTTTTTGTTTCGGTAGATTGATCCTCATACGATTTTTTGTCAGTGCCACAGCTTTTATCTTTCTTTCTTGAATTATTTGTCATTAAAATTCTTGATGTTGGATCACAGTGATCACTGTAAATTAATCTAATACAAATAAAAGTTGTATCTCTTAATTTCGATTCAGAAAACATATTGACTTGACATCCTTGATCGATCATAAAAGGTTGAGTTTGATTTAATTCACTCCCTTCTTCAATTATTATTTGACTTGATGTGGTATCTGAGACTTTTGTGGTTCTTCGTTTTGTCAAGCGTGTATATCTAGCTAGGACCTGTGAATCATTAACCTTCCTCTTTCGATATATTTCAGGGAATATCGTAGGAGCATAACTCGGATTTTCTTCCTCGTCTGATTTTTTGTTTCCCATAAAATGTTCACTACAAATTGTGTCGTCAGGTTTGGGATACCATGGCGACCCATCAACACTAAAATAATAAAGACAATAATGAATATCACATAAAATATATAGCGCAAATAAAATTGATCATAATTTAAGGTTATTTCGCTTACTTATTTCTTTTTATGGCATCTATCCATTTATTTCTTTGATTTAATTTCCAGTCCAATGTAGGAAATATATACACAGACTATTTGTGCCCTTATTTTTGCAATTCACAACACAACAACATCTATTAATAGGCATTTTAAAAAATTTTTGTTTATTACGAACTCCGTGCAAATTGACTTTACTTTCCCGGATTGTTGCGTATTTCTGCCACTATAAGCGCTGCGATCGCTTCACTATACCCCCACCATGTACTTCGCACATAGCGAATAGTTGTATTTAATTGTTCATCAATTTCCAATAACATATCGTCAGGCATAGGCTCGACATCCGTGCTATCCGAAGACTCGAAACTCATTTTATTTAAAATGCGATAACGTTCTGATGTAATATTAATTTTTTGCACAGAAGATTCATTTAAAATGGAAATATCTTCTTCTTCTATGGTGTCCAATCGGGTCTATTAAGTTTTGAAATCCATTGCTGTTTTAAATTATCGTTGGATGGAAATCTAAAACGAACATAAAAATAATTTAAATTTATTTACTTGGTAAAATAATTTAATACGTATTACGGCCCTGGATATTTGTAACGTTTAAAAAGTTATTCTATATGACGACAGATGGCGGCCAGTTAGTTATATATTGATAAAATTACTGTTTTAGATACTAAAAGTTATTTAGGAATAAGTGTATAACAGTTTTCAGTATTTACGTATGATTATTACAATATACTACTGCAAAATTATACGTAAACTTGTGTATTTTCTTCCTAAAAGTGTCGCCATCTGGTGTCAAGTAGTAGAATTTTGACGCTGATAGCTGAGGCTGAGAATGTTCTAGAACTTATATATAATTACGTATAGAATTACTTACAAATGAAATGTGATGTCATCCATATTATCAGAACGTCTGTCTGAGTAACTTTGACATAGTAAAACACAAAACTTCATCCTTTTCTTGCTAAAAACGCAAAAAAACACTTATAATGCGAGTCTCGTTAAGTGTGCACCTGACGAACGCTGAAAGCATACTGACTTAGGCCCCGCCCACAATGATGACGTCAGGACCTAGTTGAAAATCACAGTGCACAGTTGCTTAGGCCAGCTCCTCTTGGTTTTTCCTCCGTGGTTAATCTACATGCTCTATATACCTGAATCTAATCCATAATTTCGGTACTTGGCTTGATTGCCCTAGTTTACTATATAACTTTTTTGTTTTTTATTATTTTAATATGTTCAGTGTATATGGTTTATAGAAGTTCTCAGAGGTGTCCGTCAATAATATTCGTTCTACAGTAATTTATATATAATTTCGAATCTAGGAAACAATTTTTCATGATTATTGGTCTTTAGGCCAAACATGTATGGAAGCTGAGCAATCTCCTTTATTTGTTTATCTATTAATTTATATTTTTATGCAACTTATCATGCTAGGATATGAGAACCAAAAAAAAAAACAACAATGTCATCAAATTATGTTTACCATATTCTATGAAATAAATGTTTATCTTATCCTATGTCTATGCCTATGTATGACGACCTCCGTAGCCGAGTGGTTTATACGCCGGGTTTCATGGTGTTGCTGACTCGAGAGGTCCCAGGTTCGAATCCCGGTAGGGGCAGTGTTTAGTGTATGTTTATGTGATGAATACGAGCATTTATACTCCAGTCATGGATGTGTAATATGTATTTGTATATAAATATACTTATATATGTACAATATATATATATATATATACTAGCTGTGCCCCGCGGTGTTACCCGCGGATTATTAGGGATATTTTCCTGCAGTAAAACGTAGCCTATGTGTTAATTCAGGGTGTCAGCTAACTCCATACCAAATTCTATTAAAATCGCTCCAGCCGTTAAGACGTGAAGAAGTAACAAACATACACACTCACAAACTTTCGCCTTTATAATATTAGTGTGATTAGTGTGATATTCTATCCGTTACCCTGGTATCCCATAACACACCTAGCCTTACAATGCTTACTTCGGGGCTTAGCTAATTGGTGTGAGTGTTGGAAATATTTATTTATTTATGTCAATGGATGTTCTCCAGGCATGGTGTTCGGGCGTTTTGGGCCAGACCAGAAGACCCAGCTGATCACGGCGCTGCAAGGCGAAGGCCTCATAGTCGGAATGTGTGGGGACGGCGCTAACGATTGTGGCGCGCTCAAAGCCGCGCATGTCGGCATATCGCTCTCTGAAGCCGACGCCTCAGGTAATATTCATCATCATCAGCCTATTAATGTCTTCACTTCTGGGGCACAGGCCTTCCCTATGGATGGAATAGGGAGATTGGGCCATGACCCACCACGCAGGTCCAGTGCGGTTTGGTGGGTGCAAACGACTGCAGATGCAGCCAGGACCAACGGCTTAACGTGCCTTCCCAAGCACGGAGGAACTCGAGATAGAAGATTTTTGGTCACCCATCCAATGACCGACCACTGCGAACGTTGCTAACCACCTGCACCATCGAGCTCCTCATATACGGTAATATTCAAATTCAGTCAAAGAATATTAAACCTTTCTGATCATTGTTTCAATTACAATAAGGTTCTTTATTTGGTACAGTGGTAATTATTGCGGCGCGTTAAAAGGCACATATCGGTCTCTGAGCTGTTGCAACAGGTAAAAGGGCTTAGACAATAGATTCAAACCTTTTGAATGGTGGTTTCAATTGTATTAATGGTTTAAGAACTTTATTGATTTCACAAGAATTTACAAGAAAAAATACTTACGTGAGACTATCACAATAGTTTTCTAACAAACCTTTTTCAGAGAATCATACAAAATTAAAACACTAAAACCACCACAGCTTACAAATTAATTACCAACCACATTCATATTACAATATTTATGCAGATTATGCAGTAGTTGTAGAAAAATAATTATATTAATCATCACCGGCCTAATGATTATTATAGTTCATTATCTTTATGATGATGACAAAAACTTGACAGAACTCATCTATATAATACTAGTGACCCGCCCTCGCTTCGCTTCGGTGTAGAGCTGTAGTGTAGACTATAGTTTTTGTTCTCAGGCTTATATTATACACAATGACATTCTTCTAATACCTAATTACAATAGGAACGCGCCGACAAGCCCCCCGCCCGGTAGCGTCGGAACCGCTATGTCCCTGCATTTTAAATCTGTAATATCTTCGAAAATATCCATTTAAATTACATGCGTAAAGGGGCAAATTGGTCTATATTAAATGCACAATGTATTTAAGGTACTTAATTGGATAAGGATGAATGTTATATTGCTAAAAATCGCTTCGTAAATGATCTACTATTTCTCGTAAAAAGTATAATATAAAAAATGGTTATTGTGGGTTATTCCTAAGACATAGACATACCATCGCGGACTTTTTTGTAGACCTTTTTAAGGTGTACAATAGGGTATTCGACAGTATTAAAAATAAAGTGTCAATTGTTAGCATCTGTGTTTAGATTGAATATTGGCAGGGGTTTTTTACTATTTTCACAAAAAATATATTCATAATTTTACTAAAAACCCTCGAAAAAGATATTAGTTTTCTTATCTATTGTCACGTGACCCAAAACGACGTCACACGCAAGTAAACTTCCAGCTAAAGTGACATAACATTGTATCGTTTGACGTTTTAATAACAGTCGTGTGACGTCACACACTAGTAAGACGCCATATTGTCCAGAGAAACGTTTTCGCGGCAACTTGAAAATGGAGTTTTTGATTTGGTTATTTTTACTGAAATACACGACAGAATGATGAATATCCACTTTTTACGGATTCCATAAACATTAGTCAATAACGTGAGATCGTTACCTAAAACTTGTCAAATACCCTATACTGTAGTACATTATTTTGATCTATCTCGTAGGGTTCAGCCAGCGTTTGCAATGTAAGCGCAAAAAATGTGTTTATTTACGACCTTACATTAAAAACCTCTAAAATTATCAGTGTTTCTCTACTATATTATGCATGTATTATACATATAAACCTTCCTTTTGAATCATTCTATGTACTAAAAAAAATCAAAATCCGTTGCGTAGTTTTAAAGATCTAAGCATACACAGGGACAGACAGCGGGAAGCGACTTCGCTGTATACTATGTAGTGATGATTTGTTTAATAAAACGACGTGCTTACTTGTTTGACTTGGAACGAACTGAACTTTATTTAAAGAATGATAATACATGTGATACATACACCTTACTCTAGGTGGCGCTAATTGTACTAATTAATATTATGTTTATATAAACTAACATGATTCAATGTTCTCTTTCAGTTGCGGCCCCTTTCACGTCACGCGTACAAAACATAAGCTGCGTGAAACTCCTTGCACTAGAAGGACGGTGTGCGCTAAGCACATCGTTCGCCATTTTCAAATACATGGCGCTCTATTCACTGATACAATTCTTCTCTATACTTATTTTATACAACGTAAGTAAATTCATAAATTTATACTATTTTTCTTGTTGTAATTAATATTTTATACTTATTATACGAAATGAGTATAAAATAGTAAGGGAGGTAGGTTAACAGGAGATATACCTACCTCTCTTACTCTAAACTAATGTTAATGAATACCATAGTCTGTAACTCTGTTATTACATGATCTCTTCAAACAGCGTTAAGTGAAAAAGCAATCTTATAACTTGGCGTTATTTATGGTAACTTTTACAGTGAATAAAGGGATTTACTTACAGTTTGCTCTTCTAACTCACCAGAGCGGCGCCATCACCCTCCGTTGTTGGCGTTAACAGTTTTTCAAATTCATAGTCATTCAAAAATAGATAAAAAGTGAATTCATATTAATAATAATTACATATTTACTCATGTCACGCAGTTATTCTTGTCTTTTGTTAAGAGGTTGTGTGGTAAAGAAAGCGCTCTATTTACTCGTTTTCTTGAACAGAGGCCGTATTAACAACTCAACGCTATTCAAGTTCAGTATTCGGGCTAAAAGAGATACTGTAACTTGGGGGCGAATCACAATAAATATTTTATGTCGCAGCAGTTTGAATCCAATAGTCTGCAAAGATCCAATTTGGAATAATTATTATAGTTTGAAGGTTTTAGATAATAATTGTTTACATTTATTATCAAGTTCCTTGTCGTATCTTCTTAGTACAAGGTCTCCTGCCATAGATTTGTGAACCGATGGCTTAGCTTCTCTACTTCCACAAGGGCCTAAACTATATAAAGGATATTAGTGTCGATTCTGGCATGATTCTCAAAACCTAAAACTTAATTTGACATAAGTCTCTCCTTTTCATTCTGTACAGAGAATGACAGAGATACAATGTTGTCAAATTTAAGTTTAGGTATAGAGAATCATGCCAGAAACGACACCATTGAATTTTTATTTTGTATTTAGTTTTTAAACGTGAATTTTTTTTCCACAGTTCTACTCAATATTGGGCAACAACCAGTTTCTGTACATAGATCTGGTTTTGACAACTCTATTGGCGTTATCGCTCGGCCGAGCATCTCCCGGGCCTATACTTACAAAGCAATCTCCGCCAGTATCGTTGGTAGCTTTATCCAGTATCCTGCCTTTAGTGATGCAAGTATCGCTAGTACTGTTGATGCAATTAGCGCCTATTTACCTGCTATACACTCAACCTTGGTAAGTACTAAATATTTTCGATAAATATTACGCAAATGTTTATTAGAAATAGCATTTATAAAATAATTCTTTATTCATATGTATAAAATGAATTCATAATTAACTTGGTAACATCATAACTTGAAAAAAATTATCGGCATAATGTTGGACACCTGCACATCAAACTAACCCCAAATTAAGCATAACATTGTACTATAGTTTCTAGATAAAGTGTAAAAATTACTTAAATATATAATATAAACATCCATGACATCTAGGAAAATGGATATTTTTATCATACAAATATTTAACGCTTCCGGCTTAGAACCCGGGACCACTCTCAATAATCACAACTAGCTTTACACCTCAACGCGCTGAAATTTGACGCCTACTTACTCTAACAAAACAAAACTACCCTCAGAGTGTTATTATCGTAATATGAATTCACTTTATTTAATTTCCCTACTGCTGTAACAAGTGTTCTTTTTCATCATCATCATCAGACTATTAACATCCCTACTGCGGGGGCAGAAACCTTTCTTATGGATGGAATAGGGAGATAGGGCCATGACCCACCACGCCGGCCCAGTTCGGATTGGCGGGTGCTAACGACTGTAGATGCAGCCGGGACCAGAGGCTTAACGTGCCTTCCGAAGCACGGAGGAACACGAGATAGAAGATTTTTGGTCACCCATCCAATGACCGGCCACTGCGAATGTTGCTTAACATCAACGATCGCAGCTGAACGCGCTACCCACCTGCGCCATTGAGCTCCTCAGCGTTCTTTCTAATTTACTAAAATTACACTACTAAACTGCAAATTAGATTGATATTGGTAGGCAGGCACATTCTTGTCAAAATTACAAGTGCCCTTTGCCCGCACCTCTCACGGCCCCCGTTCTCGTCCTCCCCCACACCCTGTACCCCGCAGGCGAGGACTCAGTTAAGCGGTTTACATATAAACCTAAACTTAAACAGCCTAATCTTTTCTATTATATTTTGTATTGTATACGTGTCACTATAAACTAAGGGTCAAAAGGCATAGAGGTATAAGAATAGAGTAGGGGAGATATAGACTACTACAAGTGGGAGTGTCCCTCTAATAGAAACAGAAAGAAGATGAGAGACCGCTAGCTTTCTCTCTCTAATCGCGCATGCGCATTGGCAACCGGAAGCATCTTACTATTTCGATGTGATGCTTTGACCAACTATTGGACAGACGACTGCGCATGCGTCACAAGAGAGAGAGATAGATAGCGGTCTCTCATCTTCTTTCTCTTTCTACTAGACGGACAGTTTTAGAGCCGCCTTCCCCACTCTATTCTTATACCTATATGGTCAAAGGCCATCTTTTTTTTTGTAAATAACAACCGATTACCTCTGCAACCATAGATAATTTCAGCCACAGCTGATATTGTCCTATACTCCCATTTCTTTTCTTTTTGTTTTGTTATTAAGATGTAATTAATTCCTTTTTCTGTGATGTCACTGCTCTGGGTATGGCAGAATACCAGTGCAGTAGGAATTTTACCTGCTGTGTATGCTGAGCCATATCCAGTGTTGGCATCATATATAATATACATTTATTGTCTGTAGATGTTTTTTGTTGTTGTTAATTTTTATTGTACGTTTAGTTTTACTTTATGTTATATGTATTTTTGCATTTTATGTGTATCATGTGTATGTTATGTGCTGTCGGCAATAAAATCATTTTTCTTTGTTATCTGACATTGTATCTTTGTCATTCTCCATACAAAATGAAAAAGAGAGACTGATGTTGATTTTAGTTTTAAGTTTAGAAAATCATGCCAAAACGACCCCAATATATTAGTAAATAAAAATTGCAGGTTCAGTCCAGTGGAAGGTGGGCCAGACGTAGAGCAAGTATTATGTTGGGAAAACACAGTAATATTCATCGTATCGGCTTTCCAGTATTTGATTATGGCGTGCGTTTACGCCAAGGGATGGCCATTCCGTCAACCGTTTTGTGCTAATTGTAAGTATTTGTTTATGTTATTGTTTATTAAGATGATGTATTTCTAAAATGTCAATATTTTTTGATTTTATATCGAGTTGAAGTTTAGTCTACATTAACATTTAATCTTTGTTACTAATAATATAATGGTGTAATAATCTTTAAAATTTGCAAGCAAATAGGTAGCATCAGTTGATATGTTTATTATACTGGCACTCTTATCTATTCATTCGCTATAAAATATCACATGGATAATACTGCTATCAAATTTAAAAATACGAATTGTCATATAATGCCGGCATTTTACGTGGCTATTCGTGTTTGCTATTTATAAACATGATAACACTATCTCTTTTTTACTCACTGTAGAGTATGATGAGGACAACCTGCTGTCACAATTATAAATAGTAAATCCGAAAAGCCATGTGCAGCGCCGGCATTAAATTTGCTAACTTTTCTATGACTATTCGTATTTGCATATTTTTTGGTAATAAATAACACCTATTTATTGATATCGATTATGACATCTCTAAACCTAAACATAAAGGACAATGGGCAAAATTGTATGGACGCTGTACCCACGTCCGCCACGGTTTAAACTACATTTGTTTGAAAGGTATTATAGTCATAATCATCTGTGCCAAAGCGCATCAAATTCTATCCCGGGGGTCTTTAGTTATTTTAAGTTAAATAGGTGCAATTTCATAGGTCAACGTAACTATAACTAACATAATATAATATTAATGATACAAGGACGATTATATAGGACGGATCTATTATTTGATGACCTCCGTGGTGGAATGGTATGTACGCCGGCATCATGTAATGGTATCATGGTGTTGCCGACTCGAGAGGTCCCGGATTCAAATCCTGGTGAGGGCAGATGTTTGTGTGATGAGTACGAGCATTTGTACTCCAGTCATGGATGTTTAATATGTATTTCTATATCAATATTCTTATATATGTACTGCATATGTATTCTATTCGTCACCCTAGCATCCCATAACACAAGCCTTACAGTGCTTACTTTGGGGCAAGTTAATCGGTGAGTGTAAAAAAAGGAATTAATTATGAAACATTATTTCATTTCAAATATTTTTAATAATCTTCATCCACAGTGTCTAAGAAGAGAGCCGGTCTGTGAATATCCTCGTCATGTCTTGCCAGACATAAAAACCATATGACCACCATAACATGAGCACAGCAGCCTAAAGTGCAGTTTCCCGTTTAGCATGAGCATAATGAATAAAATAAGTAATAATGTTTTAATACATTTATTCCATACTCGTCTTCATTTATCAATATATAGGAGTGTATGCCTCGAATCTATTTTTGCTCGCAAAAGCGACAGATTCTTTTGGCAAGCACCGCAAGCACGGTTATTTCATTCAGCCAATGTCAAGTTAAAGATCCTTCTTTTACTTGACATTGGCTGAATGAATGCATATATGCAGAAATGCATTTAAATAGATCCGTAGATTTTTTATTGGCTAGTACGATTATAATGACGTACGTGATGATAATCGTGTTCCTATTTCCAAAGCGTGTTAGTTAAATATCAATGAAGTAACAGGGAGCGCACAAAAAGTAAGACATATAACTGCATAAGAGTAGACTAGTTGGAATGGCAACTGCAAATATCACATCCTTCAACCCCCATACCCTTACCCTGTTAAACGTTTTGAGGCGTCTCAGTAAGTGCAAGCAGCAAGCAAGCAGGATATTCGGTAGGCTTTGTTGTATAATATTTTGTATCTGGTTGTATAGTAAGATATGACTCACATTATTATGGCTAATATTATATAATGAAAGTACTATTGATTTTGAATGAATTTATTTAGCTATTTAATAATGCCCATGTGTGCAACCGGCCGCCATGACTTACACACGACTGATGGTTTTCTTTAAGGTCTATGTGCGGAAACCTTAACCCCTAATATAGAACATGCCCATATGTATATCTTTTGACTCCCAGGATATTTTTTTACGGTGTCATAATAAAAAAGGCTAGTTTGTCATAGATCTATCGATTCATACTAATTACATTGTTGGCGGAGCTGGGTGCGTTTTGCCCATTGTCCTTTGTCAACAGTGATTCCTTGTCATTCTCTATACAGAATGAAAAAGAGAGACTAATGTTAAATTAAGTTTAAAGTTTAGAAAATCATGCCAGAATCGACACTATTATCGCCTTTTATATGTAATTTTTCTGAAGTTTGAATTCTGAATAAGGGGCTGTCCATTAATCACGTGAGGCTCGAAAGGGGGGGAGAGGTCCATAAGAAATCACGAAATATCACAAGTGGGGAGGGTGTAATACTATATCACGTGTATTTCCGTGGTCCGAGGATACTGTACATTAAATAATGTTCATGTATTAGTATGAAAAAGTTTTTCGCATTTCTTTTAGTATTTTTATGTCAGTCAAAGAAAACCTGCAACCTTGATTCTTCATACTTGTATTTTATAAATATAAAAAAAATCTTTGAAGGTACTAAAAATACAGGTGATATAGGGGTGTGGGGTTAAAAATGCCAAAAAACCATCACGTGATTAATGGACGGCCCCCAAGAAAAAGCAAACAACGTTGCGTCGCGTGTTTATCAAAGATTTCATCATATTCACAGATTACATGGTAATAACATTGCTGACTCAAGCAGTATTCGTGACAGTTTTACTGTTATGCCCGTGGTCGTGGCTCTCGGACCTGATGGAAGTGACACCCATGGACACAACACAAGTGGAACGCAGCATGTTCCGCGTATACTTGCTCATAATACCATTACTGCATCTTATATTGGCTATCGGTATCGAAGTGAGTTGTTGGAACTTGTCATTTCTTTGATATCTTTCTTTTTTTTAATTCTGTTCAAATCCTATTTCCTACTAATATTATAAACTAGCGGCCGTCCGGGGACTTCGTACGCGTGGAGTTAGTTAGAAATAAAGGTTCACTGCTTGTTCCCCGTAGGTGATAGCGTAATAATATGTAGCCTATATGTTGACCCGACTTCTTAATCCAGTTCCATGCCAGTTCCATGTTTATATATTCTTGAAATGGCAGTGTTTGTTAAAAAGTATTTTCACTTATATAAGCAAAAAAAAAGATGTTGAATATATAGAGGTAGAAATGGGAACGACTTATGTGTTCCAATCCAAAGACTAATGATATTTTCTAAAAATGCATATTGTATGTCCATCCGTATATTTAATAAGTTACCCTCAAATATAAAAAAACTGAATTTAACCAAATTTAAGACTGAATTATTTACATTTTTAATCAACAAAAATGTACTATACAATTAATGATTTTTGAAATGATAAAATACCCTAATATATATTTGGTTGACATTCGTGTGTATTTAATTTAATAGTATAAATTATGTAAATGATAAATATATGTAATTTTCTGACAATATTTCAATATCGATGCAATTTTTCCTGACTTTTTAATTATGAATAGATTATAAGTACTTTTTTATGACATTGCGTTTATCTATTATCTTTAAAATAATTTTATTTATTTTGACGTCACTGAACCTCATTCATTTAATTGTCTTCTATATTATGTAATATTTGCACGTTGACATTCAACAAAATATGCTGGAAACTAAAGAGCTGACAACTATTGTAACCATATTTTGGCAAATAAATGATTATTATTATTATAATAATATTCGTACCAAATTTGAAGTAAATCCATGCAGTACTTTTCGAGTTTATACCGGACATACAGACAAACAGAAAAAAATTATAAAAACTATATTTTTGGCTTCGGTATCGATTGTAGATCACACCCCAAGTCTTCTTTTAAAAAAATATTCAATGTACAGTTTTGACATTCCTACCATTTTATTATATGTACAGATTTTAAAGTTTGAATGTTTGTTACTCGATCACGCAAAAGCTACTGAACGGATTAGGATGAAATTTGTTACGCATATAGTTTATGACCTAGATTGAAACATAGAATACCTTTTATCCCGGAGAAATATTAAATTCCAGTGGGATTCTCAAAAAAATAAAATAAACGCGGACGAAGTCGCGAGCGGCCGCTAGTAAAACCATAATTATAGTCATATTTTTTTTGTTAAATTGTTAAGGATTTATAAAGCATGTTCCTATGTGTTAGTCTTTCCCAATGGTGTCCGTTCTCGAGCATGACGACAGACTAGGCACCAGGTTTACTCGATTTCATGGTTGCCATGAATCCTATGTAAAATTTCTGAAACGACTGAAATCGTTATGCGCGTTTGTTCAGCGATTGAGGAAGTCTAGCAACTTTGACTATGGTCAGTTATAGGATTGGTGACCAAAAATCTACTATCTCGAATTCCTTCGTGTTTCGACAATAACGTTAAGCCGTTAGTCCCCGATGCATATTCAGTTGTTAGCATCCACCAATCCGCACAATTGAATCATAGCCCAATCTCCCTATTTCATCCATAGGGAAGGCTTGTGCTCCAGTCATAGATTTAGTATTTAAAGACTGGCAGAGTGAGGAAAAGAGATATCATGCCCTTACGACAATCTTACAAAGTAGAAAGAGAGCAACATGATGCACCTCTGCTCCTAATAATATATTTTCAGCAAAAGCGAACAGCGTCCTGTCAAGCCGTACTGTGTTAAAGTATATTATGAAATTCTGTGAAACTAATGTGCTAATTCAATTGAGTTTGTGTTGTGGTAGTCTGTGTTGCATATCTTGACAACACTTTCACTCGCAAGCAAACATCGATACTCACACATGCACAATTAAATTTTTGGAAAACTTGCGATAGGTACTTTGTCTATTTTTACATTCTATATCTATGGCCCAGCAGTGGAGACATTACTAGGCTGGTGATCAAGATGATTGATGAATGTTATATCTGACCTATGTACCAACATGAATCAAGAGAAATTAAAATTATAATGCTGATTAATATTTGCAATTTCCTTCCAAAAACAGGCAACACTATCGGACGTGGACAAATTCCGGTCTTTGTTTAAACTGTCACGACGACGCTGCGATATGAACGAAGAATTATCTGCAGACGCGGAATGTCCTCTATGGCCGCCACGTTCTGACGTCTGCTGACTAGTACCCATCTATCTACGTGAGAATAAACTGTACCTACTCTTCAACAAACTTCCCAGTAAACCTGTTAAGCTGGCAAAACTACTTAAATTCTTTCGCTATATTAAATTTTGCTGTAAACCTTTCCGCCTATTATTGGCGGTTGGCGTTCGATGACGTATCAAAAAACTGGCAACAGTACTTTTTATATTAAATATTAGGCCTTCCATGTTGATTTTAGTAGGAAAATTAAGTGTTTTTTATACAAATTTATATCGCAGGTGGACTTCTCATATCAAGCTTCCCTGTAAACCTTTCTTACTATTATTGGCGGTTGGCGTTTGATGACGCATCAAAAAACTGGTACAAATACTTTTTTTTAGAAAATATTAGGCCCTTTTTGTTGATTTTGATAGCAGTGACAGACGAGGAGTGTCCTCTATGGGCGCCCCGCTCTGACGTCTGCTGAATAGTAAATAACTGTCTACGTGAAAATAATGTATATCTTCTCTTAAAAAACTGTCTTTTATAATTTTATTCGCCTATTATTGGCAGTTAGCGTTCCAGGACGCTTCAAAAAGCTGGCAAAACTGTTTTCTCTTTTATAAAAAATTAGGCATTCTTTGTCGATTTTAGAAGCAAAGTTTGATTTCTTATTTAAACATGCGTTAGTAAAATTCGCAAGCGGATTGTTGAATTCACTGCATCACACTCCATCTATCGGTATTAAAGATCAGAGACGTTTTGCATTAGGGCGGATGGACGATAATTCGGATTGCATTATAGCTAAATTAAAGTACGCCGCATTGTAAAGAAGTCGGTGAGATCGTAGACCAGCTCGCGTGGTAAGGAAAGGGGGATAAAGAAGAATAACTCTTCAATCTACTCGCCATGGATAGAAGACGAAAAAATGCGCTTAATGGCTCCACATCACAGAGTAATTGTTGAGACCCGAGCCCTCTTATTCTAAAACGCGGACTAAAGTTAGTCTTGGTTTAAACATAATGTTGTCTCTGTCTTCTTTGTAGCAAACAAAAATGACAGCATCAGTTTTAGACCAGGTTTAACTTTAGTCTACGTTTGTAATAAGGCGGCAAGTGTTTCGTCACTTCCTAATCGCCAATGATCTGATATCCAAAGCAAAGAGCAAGTACTTGGCGAAGCCATCCCAGAGGTGTGGGCAATATTCCACAAGCGCCTCACTTGTGTCTAGTACAACAAAAACAGTTGATTGAGTATGAAAAAACGCAGCAACTTTGTTCAAGTTTCCGAGTATTCGTGATTTTTTTTTATTACGGTTTAGATGTAGTCGTTTGGATTCAGGCCTGAGCGAACTTCCATGCCGAGCATGGTGATATTGCTCTCTAGCGCCAGTATTGTGCCCTGAAGAGGGAAGGAGATGGAATGACGACGTTTTTGCCGTGAAAGTGCTTAGTCTTAGCATGGAACTCAATGAAGGCCCTGGTTCCATCGAATGGAGTACCATTCGGAAATGTGGTCCAAAACCTGATTGAATTCAAAAACAAGATTCTTCCGTTTCTATAAGATTTCTACCTGTCCAGCCGCTGTGTCCGAAATATCCCTCATACACTGTACTATCGTCTGCAGAGCAATGAATATTCCCTAGACGAATTAAATAATTAATGTGCAGCAGAAAGAGTGGGGAATAGAACGGAGCCCTGAAGAACACCAGCATTCACTGAAATGAACTGTGAACCCGCATCCGCCCGTAAGGACGCGAATTCTACGCTCATGCAGGAAGTCAGCCTCCCAGGCACAGAACTTAGCAGGCAAACCGATGCAGGAAACTTGGAGAGAAGCCGGACCTTATCAAATGCCAAGCGTTGTCGTAGCGTTGCAAAGACTTACATCGCTTGTCAATAGCCTCGTCCCAGATGTGATCGATTAACCCTTAATCCAAATTGACGATCACTGATCAGAATGGTCTTTCAAGTAGCGGGTCAGTTGGTTATTATGGACCCTTTCTAAGACTGTTCTTTGCAATCATCGATTCGGGAGTTAGCCGCAAAGATATTTACCCGTAAATAGGCTTTCCTTTAAGTGTGTTTTTTTTTTGGAAACTTTATACAATGCGTGCAAACGTCAGTTGCCGTATTGATAAACAGTTGACAATCCAACTAATCGTCGTCCCGCCGTAATACAAAACCATTCCGTTTTTTTAAAGCAACAAGACCGTATGTAATAATGCTAAATCTACAATCTGGCTGCGATATTTATATTATAATCCAGAAATTTACAATTACTTAATCTGATTTAAAACTATATGTTGTGACCAGTGCAATAGTTGCCTACTTCTCAATCGAGGTACTTAAGCTTAAAATGTAATTTACGCATATCCCAAAATTAATCGATTACCACAGTCTTAGCATATGAGATTATACTAAAATATTATAATATAGCTACTTCGAGGCTATATCGAGTTAGAGAATTATTCTTGTTTGTATCTATTTATCGATTACAAACAAATTCAAATAAGACTGAGATGTTTATAGGGCGATGGAAGGTGAAGTGTTATATGAAATTTTATATAACACCCAAAAAGAGTATTAACGCGATATAGAATAAGTAGGGATTTGCATAAAGTAATTACCTATAAACCTCTCAGTGAAACTATTGGGAATGGTTGTATAAAACATGCGACGTTTCTATGTTTTGATTTTCTTGTTTTGTAAGACTAGTATGTAGACACTCAGAGTCGTCAATTAATTCATTTTAAAGAAGAACAACCACTTTGTATGGGGTTTGGTACAGATACCAAGTTCTTAGTACAGGAGCAAAACATATATCATTGTAAAGCTTATTGTTAATGTATACTGCCAATCTTTAATTGAACTCGATAGCTAGTTGGGTTAATGAGATATTTCGATTTGATTTTATTTAAAAATAAAAAATATTTTAAGTGTAGAAAGGGTTTTTCTGGTGTTAATTCATAATAAACATAATTTTTAACTAATTTGGAACAAATAATTAATAAAATATTAATAATATCATATTTTGTCTGAGATTTGGAGTTAAAAACTACAAATCAAGTGTTTTTTTTTTATTAAAATAAAAACACTTGATATTACCTTAAAAACATTAATTAATTTGAGCAATTTTAACTGTACTTCGATAAAACATTCAACTCATGATTAGTTACATCAATTGTTTCGAATATAATAGCAAACTACGTTTCTTTATACACTGAACGCTATTTTCATTTATACTTTAAAGGTTTTGTACTATTTTGAATTTCACCACTAGCTAAACAAATACATTTTATCTTATATTACTTACTATTTAATGCTTCACATAATATCAAACAAATATGTTTGTACAAGATCAGTACCAAAATGGTTGTCCTCCTTTAAATTAAAAGTGATGCTGTTACTTTCTTTGCAAAAGGCAATAGATTAAGGCAACGTCTCACTGGCAAGAATATAATTTAATTGACATCTCTGAGTGCGGAGGTAAGAAATTTCAAAATTCTCTACCAGTTTTTAGCCCATTATAATAATTGTCTATCTTTTCAATGACAGCAATAAAAGACATCGTAAACGCTTATGTAATATCTTGAATTATCAATTTTGATTTGTCTCACGAATTGTATTTAGTGAGGACGAATTATACATTTTTAATTATTTTATGGTTCCGTCTTTATTTTGTGATTTAAAAACTGTAGAAAAATTTATTATTTAACGACTTAATTAACCAATAAATTAATTTGCAATATAAAAATTTTAATGTTTATTTTAATTTTATAGGTATATTTTTTTTTATTTCCGTAAAAATATCGAATGCTGTAATTGAAATCTATGAACCTTAGTTTTTTTCTACCTCATAATATTATATAGAACGATTTTTATATATTTTTTTCTTTTTAACTTATTCGATGCGTATTATATATTCATATATTTCAAGGTTAGGAGACGTATTATTTTCTAAGCCACGTTTGCTTTGTACCTAAACGTAAAATTTTATTTTGTACGAATTTATACTTTACTATTATACACATTTAAATAAGATTATAAAAAAACATTTCATCAAAAAAATTAAGGCAGAACTAAAATTATCACATTGTACATTTTTTCCTAGATTACTATCACAATATTTCGTGTAATCAACTATTCACTTGAAAAATCACCAAATTATATGAAGTAGGCAATAACTACTAGCCAATTTTACTGGTCCCCCTAAATTATAATCGTAATGTAAGATAGTGCATAGGTATTTTTAAGTGATATCCTAATTTGTTGTATATAAATAACTGTAGTGATTAATGTAATTAAAATATTGTTAAATACTATTTCTACCAGAAAACCCTTAATAGTATGTACTTATTGTTTACAACCATCAAGTAGTAAATTAGATGGAACCATTATTTTGACATGGTTTAGTAGAAACATTACAGCTATTGTTTTAGTACTAGTTGTATTATACGAATGATTTATTATATCAATTATTTACGCAATTTTGTTTCGTAAATATTAGTTGTGCACAAATGAAATGTTACTTAATGTTAGTTTCTTATATTTCATTGTAGATCGAATAACCGTCTAAGTATAATTATATGTGTACATCATCTTTTAACGGTGATGAAATCATGATTTTCTTGACAAAATCTATGAATATAGTTGTTGGTAAACATAATGACGCTTTCAGTTACCAAAGCCTAATAATTTATTATTATTTATATTACAGGTATACACTTATTTTTTCTGGGAAAAGTATATAATTATATGTCAAAATCAAAGCCCACTTACATTCTTATCAAATTAGACTTTTTTTTAAGTATAGAGGACGTCTACTTATTTTTAAAAATAAAATGATGTCTTCTTTCAGTAAAATATCCACTGTATAGGTGTGGTAAAAAGTGAGGTTTTTTTATCTTGGAATATTAAAAAAAAACTGTTATCATTTGATAAATATGCTTGAGTACGCCAGAGAATTACAGAAAAAATATCCATGTCTGGTTTCTGTCTTTCCCAAGATTGATAACTTTTTCTACTCTACTTAAACTCACTCCACCTTATTACCTAACATAACAAACGACTAAAGTTAAACCTGGACTAAAACTAATATTTTCACTTTTGTTTGCTAAAAAGAAGATGGAGACAGCATTAGGTTCTAGCCAAGACTAACTTTAGTTTTAATACTAATATGTACTTAAAGTACCTACACGTTTTGGAATAAGGCGGTCTGGGTTTTGACTACGAAGACAACGAAAAATCACATTGAACCTTCCTACTTGTATTATACTACATTGGAGCGATGGTGAGCAGAAAGCGACTAGCGGGCATATTTGAAGCTAGTAAAAATGAATTCTGTGGACCAATGTTAAAGTATGATAGTGAAAGCAGAAAGCAACCATTGGTCATTTTCAGGTTCAAACAAAATTTAAAACCTCAACATGAGCTACGTTCGGTATTTGTATCGAGTATCACTTTAATATTATTTGGAAAAGAAACTACTTATTTGAAACGGACCGGAAAATAAGGTTTTTATTCGAAGCTACTAATATATTAGTAGCGTAGTCGAATAGCTGAAGCAATCGTTCGTTTGTGTTGTTGGTGGCGCTTTACAAAAATATTCCTTGTTGATGATTCTTTGTAGGTACTTATATTTTGGTGCTATGTTTTATTTTTTTTTACCTACCTAATTTGTGTAAAGAAATTTCAAACGAATATGTATTGCAAAATAATACATTACCGTTTTGAACTTGTTATGAATAATTGAACTGCATTATTGTGATCGTTTTAGACCTGTGATGGTTTACGTTTATATTTCTACTATATTTCGATCCTGTTGAATGTTCTGTGTCTAATTTGTATCACGATAGTGTAGTTCAATGTGAATTTATACTAATAGGAACTACGACATTTTAGATAAATGAATAAATGTGACCATGAAAATTAAATGGTTACGGACAAGCTTTTTGTTTCTTTTTCTACAGATTTGCTACCAACCTACTCATAAACTTATATACTATTTACTTTTGTTTTTGAGAATCCCTTAGGAACTTAACATTTTTTCGGGATAATAAGTATCCTATGTCTCAATCCAAATAATTAGTTTATTATCTGGATATGTGTGTCAAATTTCACTCAAACCCGTTGAGCCATTTTTGCGTGATTGAGTAACAAAGACACTGACATACAAACATTCACATAATTTATAACATTAAAAATCCATTAAAAGGAATGATAAATTTATTTGTGTTGTGTGCTACAAAGTACACAGAAATCATAGATAACATTAATGTAAGGAGGCCTAGGGTAAGTATGTTGTATATCCGGGTGGTGGAGAATACTGTGGTGGCTGACTGTCTTTTGAGCGCACAATTATCGGACGAGCGGAAAGGGGAGCTGGTGGTTTTTTCCACCTGGAAAAAAAGTACAAATTAGTACATGTTTAACTTTCTTCCTTTCTTGATTTGTTTGTAATTATAGTATTCTAATTTATAAGTACTAAAATTTTATCAGAAAGTTTAAATCTCATTCCCCCTTTCCTTCAGAGGACGACGCGCACTCTGCCTACGTCCGACTAGCCACTATTCCAACGTGAACAAAGACCTCGATCTAGTGACTCTTTTAATTTACACGCGTTTTAATGTTCAATGATCCGTGTTCTGTCTGAATAGATTATTCTTATTCTGAACTCAGCCATATTTATGATTGGGCAATGAAGTACGAAACGCGTCAGCGCGACAGGAACTTGACACTGCCCGCTCACGTGTTTCCTCGCTCTTAAAACCTTTCCCTCCTTTATAAGAGACATCAAGAAGCGTTACAAGCCGGCAAGGTGAGCATGACTGGTCTGCGATCTTCGCGTCTAGACTCCACCGTCACTAAACATTGAGGTCGAGTAATTTGTTGGACCTTTTTGTTAAAGAAATATGCTCAGCGCAGAAATAAATCCCTCTACCGGGATTCAGACGTTAGGTCCTTTGGCACTGTAGACAGTAATTTTAGTTCGTATAAACCACAGTATTATCGTAACATACACTTGCCCGCAAAAATAAAAGGTTACCTTATAATATGTTAAAGATAAGTTATGGTTATTTTGAATCACATTTTATGAGCACCTAAATTTTCTTTTGTTTTTAAATTCAAAGAGTTAGCTTATGTCATTTCAAAATTAAGAGTTACCTGGGTGACCCTTTATTTTTTCGGTCGACTGTAGAAAAAGGTCTGTAGTCTTTTTTTATTTATTTTTTCTACAGAACTTGTCCTGGCCAGATTCGGAAGTGATGTGCATACATGAGACTTATAGAGGAGCTCGATGGCGCAAGTGGTTAGCGCGTTCGGCTGCGATCGTTGAACTTAAGCAACTTTCGCAGTGGTTGGTCATTGGATGGGTGACCGAAAATTCCTATCTCGAGCTCCTCCGTGCTTCGGAAGGCACGTTAAGCCGTTGGTCCCGGCTGCATCTGCAGTCGTTAGTACCCACCAATCCGTATTGGGCCCGCGTGGTGGGTCATGGCCCAATCTCCCTATTCCATCCTTAGGGAAGGCCTGTGCCCCAGCAGTGGGGACATTAATAGGCTGATGATGTGCATACATACTTGTCGATGATTCATATTTATATGTATAGATAAGCTAGAAGTTCGACTTACCACGGCACTAGGCTAAGGTCGTAAGGCGGTTTCGGTTGCGCTAGTCGCTCGGCTCGTTCCTGCCTCAGAGTGTCTCCGTCTCTTGCTACCGCGCACCACGCGCGCAACGTGAAGTAATACACTAATTCCACCCCTGACAGCAGGGAGAAACCAAGAAAGAGGCCTGCTATGCCACCGAACGACACTAGAACAATTTAGGAGGGTATAATAATCTGAATGCCTATCGCCGTAAAACAGTGGTGTCGATTCTGGCATGAGGCATGACCATGATTCTCTAAATTTAAAGCTAAGATTAAGATCAGCATTGCTATTCTGTAAAAAACATTTTACAGAATCGCACTGCAGTCTCTCCTGTTCATTCTGTATAGATGATAAGAGTAGGTACACTGTTTTCAAATGACATTGGGCAAAAATGAATGAACGCTGCACCCACGTCCGCCATGGCTTAAACTATATTTGTTTGAAAGGTATTATAGTCATGGTCATGATCCTATCAAATTCCATTCCGGGGGTCTTTAGTTATTTTAAGTTAAATACGTTAAGTACTATAACGAACGAACATTAATGAAACAAGGGAATTAATTTAGTTAGTTCGACCCTAGGGAGCTCAGGTATTATGGGAGTACTTCACAAGGTGCAAGGGTGCCCCCTTTTGTTATTCTGCCGCGTTAAAGTAAATCCAAAAAACTCCGCATGCAGTGCCGTCTTTGACGTATTGGTGTCCCCTGGGCATATTAGGATAAGAGGACCCCTACGACTTCCGTTTTGGTGATTTAACAGGAACTACGGACTTTGTATCTGAGGGGGCACCCTATCGATCGCGGGGCCCTGGGCACTTGCCCAAAGTGCCCACTGGGAAAGACGGGCCTGCCCGCATGGGTTGGGGGTTTCTACAAACATTCTGTTCGTTATAGTAAATTGTCTTCTATGTAAAACAGAGCGACCACAAATTACACTTTGTCCACGCTTCGGAGAAAACATGATTCCAGTTCACCCATACTAATTGACAAAACCGATAATCGTGTTCAATTGTCCCAAGCGTGTTAGATAAAAATCAATCAAGTGACAGGGAGCGCACAATCACAACGAAGTAAGACAAGCAGGGCCGGATTTAGAGGTCCAGAGGCCTCGGGGCAACAGAGGAGCGGAGGCCCCTCACCCAACATTATTTTCCAAATAAAGTAAACATTTTTTTTTCAGTCGAGTTTTTCAATAAATAATTTATTGTGAACCAAGTAGATTCCCTTAGTATTCAACAAACACATATAAATATAAACGGAAACAAGAATTATCTGAAATTAAATCTTAGAGTTAACGAACGGAACCTTTCGAGCTTTTTTGCCGAAAAATCGTTGATGATTTCGATTTTTTTTTCCGAAGTCTTTATTGTGGGGGCCCCCCATTTGTGGAGGCCCCGGGGCTTTCGCCCCGGTTGCACTCCCCTAAATCCGGCAGTGAAGACGAGTCGACTGTTTGCAAATGTAAGTCCTTCAACCCCTCTTCAAAGGGCTCTGTTCTGGATCAAATGTTTTTCAACGTTTTTATCAATGACATTACAAGAAGTATTAAACATATAGTTTTGCCCTATGCCGATATTTTAACTGTTTACATAATTATGCAGGTTTTGTGCGCATTACTATTTTATGCACACGGCAGTTACCAGCGCGTCACCATACACATACCTTTCCCTAAAATCCACCATTAACTGGAATTGGGACGCACTGGTTCTCATTTTATTAAATAAAAAGAAATCCAACAGCCACACCGAAACAACAAGGAAACGAAAATGTCATCGGCATTATACACCCAATACAATTTAAAAGTTGTCCTAGAGCTATACTTTACGCTTTGCTCTACGACGTTTTAAATAAGTTGTATTATCTTATTTTGGGGAATAACTATCGTACTCTGTGAAAAGTTAGAAAGAAACAGCTACATTGGGCGTGAAGTTAGACACGTGTGAAATATGATAATACGGACTATCGAGCCCTCGCTAGCGAGTTTATCACATGTTATTGTAGCTCATGGTACAAGTTTATGTGAAATCTTTTCGATGCGTGTGTATACGCTTACGACCGTGATAACGTAGTGTCAATTTTCGATGTCAACTCATGGTACAGCTACAGGTCAGGTCAAAATTCATACGCGCCGAGTGGAAGTGCACCGAAAGCCCCAATTAGAAACACAAAAATTAATAGTTTAAAAAACTAAAAATACGCTTTTATTTACTGCACTAAAAAGCCAAAAGTTGTAGTTTTTCAAACTATTAATGTATATTTCTCTTTTTACCCGACTGCGCAATGCAAGAGCGCGACTCGCGAAGCGCGACGCGCAGACAGGGTATAGTGTTTAACAGTCTATATATGTATGTTTGTTCCTTTTTGGCACACTAGAGACCAAACGCCTGGACCAATTTTGATGATTCATACATCAATCGATTCGTCTCAATCATGGGAGTGCTACTAAAGATATGATAGTAATCAAAATTCAATATGGGCAAAATTAGGCGCCATATTGTGACGAAGTAAAAAAAATAAGTTGATAAAATATGTCGAGTGGGGTATCAATGTCTAGATAATCGAAACTGATGTTTAGGTTTGTAACACCATTTTTCATTTTATATGATTGTTTAGGATCTACAACGCTTTAAAGTTGTATATTAACCACTTGCGCTTTTAATTTCAATCTTACGTTTGCATGGATCTTTGTTACTCTTTCACCTTAAAAAATACAGAATGGATTTTAATGAAACTTAACAGGAATATAGCTCATTTAAGATAACAACATATATATAATAATTTATGTAGTTATTAAGTGAATTGGCCAAAATATAACAATAAGGGTCACATAAGACGGAATAAAATCTCCCATCTGCGAGCCATTTTGGCCTGCACTGCAAAAACAATAAAAGTTACATGAATGTTATGTAGAGTGAAAATATATCTCTTAAATAGTTCTAAAAAAAAAGTCCGTGACACCATATATCTATTTTTAATGTGTAAGCCATTACCGCTAAGATAGTGAGTCAAAACTAAAATATTATTTGATATCTATTTCCATTATTTTTTATTAAAACAAATACTTTTATCGCTTTTGATATTTAAAGTGGACTTTCGGTTACTCGGTTACTATTCGGTATTCGGCCTATTCGGCTGCTTTTTTTATATCCGGCCGAATACCGAATACTTAAATAATATATTTTGTCATAAAGAAATAACTGGTAAAATGAAAAATTAAAATCGATCGATTACGTATATATTCATATTTTCATTTCTGTTATGTAATCATTTAAGTAGTCATTGGTACATAATACAGGT